AGAATCCTGCTATATTCTGGAACAACAATGGAGGACAGAGGTGAGTGACTAAAGAGGCAGTGCTAAAGTTTATCTTTCTACTTAAGGTCCTGAGTGGCTAAGCCGGGAAAATCTTAAGATAAGCTAAGCTAATAGTTGAGAGGTGAGTGACTAAAGAGGCAGTGCTAATGTGACGGAGGAATGTAGGTAAGGCTCCCAGGCTTACACATAGCCCAACCAGCAGCGAGGGCGAGCGCGCCGAAGACAGTGCGGCGCGGCATTCATGTGAGCTGGACAGCACGTCGCGCGATGACGAGGGCGTAGGTCAATGCAAGGGAGCCGCAGCCTCCGGTTTTTGCGGTGTTACCATCGACCTCACGTCGCCATCTGCCCAGGGCTGCTGTCACCCTCGCGACGGGCCTGTTGCCGTACTTTGGCAGCCTTCCCGGTAGCCGTTTGCATAGATAACCCGCCGCACACTGCCGCTCACCCTCAAAAAGCCGCTCCCCGAGCCGCTCTGGGTGAGCGTTTCGAGAAGCAGCAAGGTTAGCGGCTGCAACAAAGTTATCATAAGGAGAAGAGGAATAGGATATGTAAGTACCTGCACCAGTCTTCACTCTAGTCTCGAAATGGTCGTCGAAGGGTTACCGCGCATCAAACCTCAAACCGCGGTTGCTGGTGCTGTAGCAGTCGCCTTTGCCGAGCCGCTTACTGGACCGCGCGCCATTCGCCCGAGCCGCTCACCAGACCGCGCACTGGCACCATCATAGCGAGAGCTACTCGCTCAGCTTGCTGAGTATAGTGCCCTACCAGCCAGTTGCTAGAGAGAGGAGTGTGTCGCCAAAGTAGCTCCAACCGTCCCGCCGTTCGGGTGAGGATTTGGCTGCAATTGAGGGAGAATGCTGCTGCTAGATATTGCCAAGTGCAAGGCGCCAATTCGAGCGGGGCGTGGTCGTCGGTGTCGCCATAGTCAATGTGCATGCTCTCGTAGAGCCGCTCACCGAGCCGCCTACCAAGGAGCGGTGGGTGGCCGTGTGCTTGGGGCACCAAGGTTGGGGTTGTCGGCAGAAGCAAAATTTGTGAAGTAGTGATGGTGGTGGAGTGAAGGGAAGATACAGTGATGAGAATGACTCATCATCGATGCATCATCTGTCAGCGTCGACGCCGCCGGCGAACGTTGATGGCGACGACGACGACGGCGAGGGCAACGCAACATGCGTTCAAGACCCGGAGAAGTGGCCAGCGAGGAAGGCAAGGGCCTTGTGATGACGAGGAGTGAGTCGCTGGAAGAGAGCGGCGCCGCAGCGGCCGCTTACTGGGGGTGGCGGCAGTGCTGCATCGCCGCCCTCCAGGTTTGGCTGGGAGCCGCCCTCTGTCACATGAGAGCCGCGCTCACTTGTGCGAGAGCCGCCCACCGCCGCGGCAACACTGCCACCAGCCGCCCACCGCGAAAAGAGGGCGGCGAAAATGAGGCAAAAAGCCGCCCACCGCCGCGTCTGAGCCGCCCACCCAAAAAGTCCAAGGGCGATGCTTGACGACAAAGCCACCGTTCGAGCCGCTCAGTGGCACGTTGGAAAGGGCTCGTCGGGGGCTATCGAACGCCCCAAGAATGTCGCTATTATGTTAAGGACTTACAAAGATATTGTCTACAGAATTTTCGTGGAGCCGCCCACCAGCCGCTTCCGAGCCGCCCACCCCAGAAGCGGCGAAATATTTTTGCCCTTGAAATGTGATCCCTGTAAGGGGAGCATGTGATGTGACAGCCGTGACTGATCACGTGACTGGTCCGTGCGCAGATAGCCCTGTACTTAAGTAGTTGGCCGTGGGGTTGTTCCCCTGGCTTTGGTATCAACTAGGCACCTGGACCCTCATCCCCTGACAATCCCATTACTTGCAAATCAAGTCTACTTTCTTTAAGTTTTATTTTCTATCTGTTCAAGTTATTAAACATGTAAATTGTTATTGTCCCTGGTGTGAACTGTATGAGTTGTGCCAAGTACTAGGATTATTTACATTTGTTACCAATAAAATAATATGTCTTGAACATGCATATATGACTTTTGGTTTACCATACTCTGGGAATACTGTCCAAAATATTTCCTAGGCAAGCTGTTTTCTTTTGTAAGTATTTTGGGATTTTAAAGCAAGAGTCTCTTTGACGTGACAGCGTGACAGCGGCATGAGTGATGCGGTGGTCGTCACAAATCAGGGCACTTTCGGTTTGGTCACTCCCGGTCGGTATAAGCAAAACTGATAAATCAGTTTGTGAAAAACTGATAAATCAGTTTGTGAAAAACTGATAAATCAGTTTGTGAACTACCTACTACTGGTCCAGGCAAGCTTCATGAAGCACAGAACAAAAAAGACGCTTTAGTACAGTGTCTATACAGAAACGACTGGAAGGATTCAACACTTTAATTAAACAATTTGATGATGCTTTCTCGGTGCGCTTGACCTCAGAATTGAATGCTTTCGCCGATGAAGACGCGCCGTCCCATCATCCTCTATGACCATGTCCCAATATGACCAGTACAACAGGACATTACTACCCAGCTCGCGGTACATGGCAATGTCTTCGAGCCACGGACACTCGCAGGTAATGGCGCGGGCCAACACTTCAAGGCGGTCGATATGTTGACGGTAGTCTTTGAGAAGGGCTGTGAAAGGGAAACGTCCAAAGCGTTCAGGGATGCTTGCATTAAATTTGAATTGACGCAGCCGCTTTAGGCGAGACAAGAGTGTTCTGAATTTGGGCTGGCCAAAAATTAGCATGAAAGCACTAGTGAGTCGTGACCAGAACGACGCCACGACTAGCTCCCAATGGTCCTCCAGTTCTGGCGAGCGGTGGTTCCAAAGGCGCTGGATAGACAGGAAATATAGATTCGGATGCTTGGAGGGAAGTGAAGACACGAAGGCATCCTCTGCCTCCACATCAGCCATCGAAGACACAAAATAAATGACGTCGAGAGTTTCGAGTGATGGAAAGTGACCACGATTCAGAATGTCGACAAGGCGAGAACATGAGGGGAACACATTAATATCACTCCGGAGTTTAGCGGGATTTTTACTCCCAAAAGTTGATTCAAAAAGTACTACTTTTTGCACAAAAATCTATATCACAGGAAACAAATGGTTTCCGCAAAGGGAACCAGTTTGTATAAAGTTTTCCCTTTGTGGAAACTATTTGTTTTCTGTAAAAATATTTTTTGTATGAAAACTAGTCCTTTTTGAATCAACTTTTGGGAGTCAAAAACACGGTAAACTCCAGAGTGATATTCCTAGCATCGAGCATGCGCTCTATCGGATAACGCGGGAAAGCGAGACACTCTAATGAAGACGGGAGAAACGCTAAAATTTGTTCATCTTCGGTAGGCGGACGACAGTTTGAAGATGCGGAGATTCCTGAGGAATGATGCTGGATGATGAGGAGGGGCATGCGTTAAGCCGATTATATTTGTGACACCTTCAGGCTCATCTATTCGAGCTAGAAGGCCAAGGCGTATCAGATAGAGATTAGGAAGGGCTTCGAGAACCTGAAGCATTTGTGAACGAGTGTCTTGAATAGTAGTGTCAACGTCCTCTGGCCAAAGTCCGACCGCAACGAGTTCTCGCAACGCATTCCATTGCAGGGAGGTGTCGATTGCACGAAAGAGTAGTTCTCCAGGGAGTATAATCCCCTCCAAAGTAGTGTGACATCCGGAGAGAAGATGCCGCATATTGCTGGCCTCAGTCTCTAGCTCGCTGGGCAATCGCCGTATAACCCCAAGGGAACGCGAATGAGTGAGATATGTGGTCGAGTATTGGATGAATCTGAGGGTTGCATGGCAGTCTCCCGGATTGACGATGCAATGGACTGTCATTTAGCCAGTCAGCGTCGAGGGTAAGGCGCTGTAGGCTCGGAATTTGGGACAAGATCCTCATAATCTCTGATGAGAGACCACCAAGCATGGATGAGCCAAGGGTAAACGTACTCAGCGAAGTGAGTTGAGGAAACACATCGTTGAGCTGTGCCACAATGGCCTCATGCGTCGTGTGGTTGACCAAAGTAGTATATTGCCTCTTGAGGTTCCCATGAAGTTTGAAAGCCCTAGATTGGTTCAGTGTGAGAGGGACAACGAAAATACGCAGAACAGACCGGACATGGGGCCATAAGTTCTTGGACGGGAGAGATTGGTTCGGAGGTTGCCATTGAACACTCCAAAATATGTCTGGGACTAGGGTTGTCCGAATGCGACGTGATAAGCTTGAAGCGATGATGCGCTCGACTGGATGAAGCTTGGAGAAGATAGCTCTCAAGACATCGTCATTGAGATCTTCGAGGTGTATCCGCCGTGCTTTTGGACGGTTCTGGCGTACTCGAACAACGTTGAATGTCATCCATGTTGCAAGACCCAAAGGTATCAGCCATGACCACATTTAGTCGGTGGTGGCAACTCGGAAAAGAACAAGAAATCAACTTGTCATTTGTGTGGTTCTGGAAAACCATCACTGTCTTACCTAAGCCCTCATAACCTGGTCACCTACAATCATTCCGCACAAGCCATGAGCACAAAAGGGACCTTCTTTCCAATGATTACCCCCCATCATGCTGACAGGCGAGATTCCATGGAATTTGAGCTCTTGTGCCATGACAATACGTGGGGACTGTGGGTCCACCGTCCCTCCATTGATATACTGTGAGAAACGAACCGCTCGAAGAGGCATCTTATTGGCTTCTACTGTCTTTCTTGTATTGCTAACTTCATTGCATGAACAACACCTTGAGGGCGGTATCTGTTGTCTTCTTCAAGTTCTTAGTTGACTCGTTATCTCTCGATTAGGGAAGCATCGCACATCTCGCTCTGGGGTTCAACTTTGAAACAGTGCTTATCAATTCGGACAATAAGATCTATTGTCTCTTATTCTTCTCGATAATTCTCGTGGACAACCTCCTAGTCAACGTATGCATTTCAATTGTCTAGATCCTATATAAGAACTCGGATGACTTCAAACCGCTCAAAATCATCGCCGCTCGTACTCTGATGTCCGAACCTCTCCTCTTTGAAATCAAGGCCTTTCCTCGCAGCAGCAATAGCAAATGGCATCTTAGATCGGTGAGCTGTTGTGTTGATAATACTAACCATGAAGCTTTAACTAATGGGTGCCAGTTAATTGCGGCTGTAGAAAAGCACAAGGTGGTCAAACCTGACGAACACGCATGGGGAATCTTTTATGACCCCTTTATTGGCACTGCTTGCTTCCATGCCCCCACCCAACCAGGAGATGGACCACGCTCGCTATCTGCCAACTCCCAGGACAGGTCCGAGTCTCAGATAGAAGCGACCCATTCTTCAGGATCTGACTCTGTCCCATGCCGATCTGAGTTTCAGTCACGATGGGCTCTTGCTGCTCAATCGCCTTTGGTCATTCGGACTGCGTCCATAACCGCTCTCAGAGATGGCGAAACCAATGAACCAGAACATATTCAAGGACAAATGATACCCCTTGAACAACGTAAACTGCCAGGTTTGTTGTGTGCGCTTGAGACAACAATGATGAGCTAATTCACCGTAGCCGATGGTCTACACTATGTTCGAATGGTAATTACTAATATTTCCCATCGTGCCTTGTTCCCAATTGTCCAATCAACACTGCATCCCAGGCTTCGCATCAGGAGAACCCAAAGGAAATGGCGCACACTGGTATCACACCCATCCGTAGCCGAACAAAATGGCCAAAACTTCTTGTAGATACGGGTAAGGTGAATTGTCACTGGCACTACCCAATCAACTAACAAAGGCCACACAACCTAGGTTGCTCAGTGACGTGAGTCCCGATCTAATTTGGCTTATATATGCATCATTTTAACTATCACTTAGCTGGATGTATCATCCTGATGCTGTGTTGCTCACAGTCCAAGTCAATGACTCTGAATCTAATCTTCGTACAAGCACCAAATTCGTCAAGTCAAACCATGTCACCAAACTAGAACGCCATGACCGAGCCATCTCTTTCAGCGGTCATGCTGAGGCTACCCAGCCCGGGAAAGTGTACCGTTTGTCGTTTCCGGACTCATTCCATGCTAGTGTGTCCAAAATGGCTTACTTTGCCCCATTGTTCACTTTTTTTCTGCAGATTTGCAACTCTTCCGCGGGCCTCTCAGTCTATTACAAAAGTTTGACTGGGAAAGGGAATCATTCGATTTTCACTGTCTAGAGGACATGGTTTTCGGTCTAGCTACGGCTGCAACATTGGAAACAACCAAGAACTGGAAACCTCCGACTAGCCTGCAACATGCTACCCAAGGCCATCGACGCTTCCGCCACCATGATCAAATGGACGGCATTCTTGGGCTCGCACTTGCGTCAGTGACTCTGGTTACTTTTGAATGCGGCATGCTTATTGTATCTCCAGCTACGATACCTCTCCATTTGAGCTTGCTGCCGCGCCACCTGACGTAAGTGTCCACGTTGAACACATATTCCATTTCCGAGTATCACCACAACCATCTATAGCTATTTGTTCCTAAGTTTTGCCAGTCGATTGGCTTCGAGGTAAGCTCGGCATACAAATTCAAAGACCAATATGACAATAATGTTAGGTGTCTCGATTTACAATCGCTCTAGGAATCGGCGAGCAGTACGTCAGCTAGCTCAAACTCCACTCAACCTTGTCACATTTTACTACTAAGGACTAGTTGGATGATACTGGGGCCAAATAACAACGACCCCAAGCAGAGACGGGAACATGATCGGATTGCTCATGATACTTGGAGCCCATGGATGGAATGCAACTCACAGTTGAAACACTGGACAGTCAAGCTGTTCGGTGTCACCGTTGGGAATCAACCCACGGTAGTCTTTCCATCTGGATTGGACATGGCTATCGACACAGGTAAGATATACTAATATTCACGTCCTCTGTCTAAACGATGGCTCATTTCATTGTCAGGATCACAACTCTCCGTCTTTCCTCCCAGTGTCTGTAAGGGACTGTTCAAAGCGATGGGAGAAATGGGTTTCACGGCTTATGGGCTTGGGGAGGTCGCACTAAATAATCCAGCCCTCGCGAAGACTAAAGTTACATTCATTTTGGCGGAGGGATACCAGATCACTCTTCCTTCCCTTGAACCTTTGATTGACGTTGATTCCAGTCAAAATCAGGGCAGCGCAATCTGTACCTTTCATGCCGGCGCGATTGAGAACGAAAAATATGGTTTGTTTGGGAACGTATGTCGATCGTCCAGTGAAACCGAGAGGCTGACAAAAAGTCATTTTAGAGTCTTCTCCGCGGCCTGGTTATCGAATTTGAGCATTCTCGAAGGTCGTTTATGGGTGGAAGAATCAGAGTCGCTCTGCGAGCCTAGCCCCAAAATAGAAGAGGAAACCAATTTGAATACGTATCCAATGTAGTTGTGCTTCACTGGTATACCAGGACTTTTATATTTTCTTGCAGGACGAGACAGAACTCGAAAACTTGATTAAACAACTTGATAATGCTTTCTAGGAGCACTTGACCTCGGAATGGGATGCTGTCGCCGTTGCAAACGCGGCGTCCCATCATCGTCTACGACCATGTCCCAATATGACCAGTACAGCAGGACATTACTACCCAGCTCGCGGTACATAGCAATGTCTTCGAGCCACGGACACTCGGAGGTAATGGCGCAGGCTAAAACTTCGAGGCGGTCAATATGTTCATGGTAGTCTTCGAGAAGGCCACTGAAAGGGAAACGTCCGAAGCGTTCAGGGACGCTTGCATTGAATTTAAACTGACGCAGTCGCTTCAGACGAGATAATAACGTTCTGAATTTAGGCTGGCGCAAAATTAGTATGAAAGCGTCAGTCGTTAGAACGACGCACGACTGGTTCCCAGTGATCCTCCAGTTCTGGCAAGTGATGGTTCCAAAGGCGCTGAATAGACAGGAAGTATAGATTAGGATGCTTGGAGGGAAGTGAAGACACGAAGGCACCCTCTGCCTCCACATCAGCCATCGAAGACACGACATAAATGAGGTCGAGAGTTTCGAGTGATGGAAAGTGGCCACGATTCAGAATGTCGACAAGGCGAGAGCATGGGGGGAATACAGTCCTAGTGTCGAGCATGCGCTCTATCGGGTAACGCGGGAAAGCGAGACACTCTAACGAAGAAGGGAGAAATGCCAAAATTTGTTCATCTTCGGTAGGCGACGAAAGTTTGAAGATGCGGAGATTCCTGAGGAATGATGCTGGATGATGAGGAGGGGCATGCGTTAAGCCGATTATATTCGTGCGGTCTTGAGGGTCATTTATTTGGGCTAAGATGCCAAGGCGTATCAGATAGAGATTAGGAAGAGCTTCGAGAACCTGAAGCATTTGCGAACGACCGTCTTGGAAAGTAGTGTCGACGTCCTCTGGCCAAAGTCCGATCACGACGAGTTCTCGCAACGCAGTCCATTGTAAGGAGATATCGACTGCACGAATGAGCAATTCTCCGGGAAGTACGATTCCCTCCAAAGTACTATGACATCCAGCGAGAAGATGACGCATGTTGCTAGCCTCAATCTGCAGCTTTCTTGGTGATCGCCGTATAACCCCATGATCACTCGATCGAGTGAGATACGTGGTCGTATATTGAATGAATTTGAGAGTTGTCGCACAGTCGCCAGGATTGAGGATGAATGGACTGTCATTTAGCCAGCTGGCATCGAGAGTAAGGCGCTGTAAGGTCGGTAGACGGGTCAGGATTTTCATAATCTCTGAGGAAAGGCCACCAAGCATGAATGAGCCAAGGATAAACGTGCTCAGCAAAGTGAGTTGGGGAAGCGCATTGTTGAGCTGTGCCACAATGGCCTCATGCGTTGTGTGGTTGACCAAAGTAGTGTATTGTCTCTTATCGTGGAGGTTTCCGGAAAGTTTGAAGGTTCTATATTGGTTCAGCATGAAGGGGAGGATCAAAATACCTAGAACAGACCGCACATAGGGCAACAAGTTCTTGGATGGGAGAGATTGGTTCGGAGGTTGCCATTGAACACTCCAAAATATGTCTGGGACTAGGGTTGTTCGAATGCGACGTGATACGCTTGAAGCGATGATGCGGTCGATGGGATGAAGCTTGGAGAAGATAGCTCTCAAGACATCGTCATTGAGATCTTCGAGGTGTATCCGCTGTGTTTTTGGACGCCTCTGGCGGCCTCGAACGACATTGGAAGCCATCCAAGCCGCTAGGCCTATGGGTATAAGCCATGACCACATCCAGTCGGTGGTGGCAGTCGAAAAGAACAAGAAAACTGCATTGACACAGTGTGGGTCTGTGTGAGCCGGTCGGGATCACTATCATGGCATCACCGTGACCGCTCAACAACAAAATGGTGATAAGATTCAAAACACATCTGCATATCGTCGTCTTTTACTACTCGTTGTGCATAATTTCTCAGTCTCTCAGTCGTCGGCCGTCCCGTTTAGGCCAAGGATCTCAAGCCTCGGCGGTGTGGCGTGGCAACTATCGCAAAACAGTGCCGCAGTTCGGAAACTGCCCACCACACAGCAAGCGCATCCATAACCAGAACGCAGGCAAATAATACCCCGATGGCATAGATCCAATTCTTTGGGAGAAATACGTCGGTGTCTGAAGAGGTTGTAGCTGGAGCAATAGCATGCAAAAACGCGTTGTAGAGTGTAAATGCTGCAATCGGGATGCTCCTGCGAGTCCGTCAGCACCTAGAGTGAAGCAAAACCTTCAAGTTGGGAGCTACGCACCACAGAGAGGCGGCACTAGGCAGCGAGAGAAGTACCACCAAAGAGGGATGGAAGGACGAACGCTCTCTATCGTGGATCTTCTATACCATGATGGGTATTATGCCAGTGCAATCAACGAAGGAAGACTCACCAGAAAATGGACCGCATAATGCGCCGTATGGCAGAGGGCGTGCTTGAGTTCTCCAGGTATAACGGTAGTCAGAACAGCGCTCGCGTACACCGCAAATATGGTGATCCAAGACATTGCATGTGTTGTGGAATCGTTCTTATTGGCGGTTTGGATAATTGAACAAAAGAGAGTTCTGTGGCCTTCGTTGAATAAAAGCGATATACGTCGTAAAGAGTGCTTACAGTCCCATGAAAGCCTGGATGGCATGTATTGAGTTCCAGGTATTAGACCGTTCTTGAACGAATATCTTCCATAGCGCTTCGGATTCGTGGACCTCGGGAGGGAGCGTGGAGTCCGGCTCGGAAAGTTTGCGCTGACATAATTTGATTCGATCCTCGTCACGTAGCGTTCGAAGCTCTTTGAGTACTGGGGCGAGCTTTTGCGTGCAAGTGTACGATCTACGCAGTAGGACGACGTTGAAGAAGATAAGCTGAATGACGTGGAGTAGCCAGCCCAGAATGAGTCGAATGCTCTTTCTTCCAATGCTGTCATCTTGGATATCGACCCCGGGCCCTTCGCTTCCTTCGCTCATGTCGATGATTTGAATTCTGCATAGCACTGGTGTTTAGTCTAACAATCCGGCCACGGAGAATAAACAGAACAGACCCTGTAGCTTCGGCGTCCTCCAGGTCGATGCAGGTGGAAGACCGCATAACGAGTCCCAAGTCGGCCAGTGAACGACCTCTGCGAGACAAATTCGCGGCAGTGGGTACTGCGACATTGCTAGTGAAGCCAAAGTTTTCTTTGAGAGACATTGTCGGTGTTTGAGAACGGTATGTGATGGATAGAGGCTCAGGGGACTTTTATAGCAGGAGGAAGCTGGTCAAACTTGTCAGATAGCAACATCGATAACAAAAAGGCCACTAGCTTGTAGGTGCAGACACTGAGACAGAAATCAAGTATGCTGTCATTGCCATTGTGCAAAGTTGGCAACATTTGTTGTCGTTTTGCTCGTCCACACAACGCGAATCATAGCAGTAAGGTTGATGCTTTACTTGGTCGCGAAGGGAATATGGCGACCATGAGATGTATATGTACGCTCGCGAGAAAGGCTGCCAGTGGACACTACCGCGCAGTGATTGGACTACATCAGCACAGTCTTGGGTCGCTCGCCAGCCGATACTTGGCTGTTGCGCTCCATGCAAGCACTTTCCCATAAATTAGCACCGCCGGGGGTAAGCTGAACCTCCGACAGCGTGTTGGACTCATATTCAAAATCTTCTCCTTTGTGGGTCCCAGTTTGATCCCGGATGTATAGATGGGAACCCGACCGACTTCTCTTCGGACTTTCCGTTATTGTCCTCCAGAACGTCGTCAGAAGACATTGAGATTGTCCAGACAAAAAAGACAGACAATAACAGTCGACATCGCTATCGGCGGATACAAGATATAGCAGCAAGGTCGATAGTAATCGTTCAAAGAGTAGACTCCCAATTATAGACGCCCATTGAGTGTTATTGTTGAGTTGAATCAAGTTGGAGTGACCCGTCCTTGGATCGAAGGACCGCCCATCTTTCCCACGGGTCCCCAGCAAGGTCGTGAAACTCGCGATCGGATGCCAACGCCCACCAGCATCGCCACCTGTTGCAATTTGGGCGAAGGGCATACATCACAAATTTCTTCAGGCGGTCTGCGTGATCCCTGGAATCAGTGCTTCCCGATCGGTGAACCGGCGCTCCAGAAATCGCTCTGCGTCATCAAGATTGAAATCGAAAACTTTGAGATTGTGAAAGTGCGGAATCGAGGCTACGCCTGCATAAGCTTGGGACAGAGGTGATGGCAGTTGAATTTCACTGACAATTGGGTCCCAGAAGCTTTTAGACTCGTCGTCGTTCCATAGGCGATTTATGATGATACGTTCAAGCAGAGGGTGCTTCTCTGCAAGCGACTGCAGCAAGTCCTCTTCTGCTGTGTAGTCATTCGAGGAGGTACAAGATCGAGAGTTAAATCCAGTTGGTCGACGGGGAAAGTTGCTTGGATAAAGCGGGGGGGAAAATCTAAAGACCCCATAATTTAACCATAGTTGTCGGAGTCCTCGTAGGCACCTGCTAGGAGCAGTCGAATAAGGCAGAGATTGGGTAAAGCCGCCAGTAAACTGACAAATGTTCTTGCAGTGTTTTCGACGTCACCAGTTTCAGGCCAAAAGCCCTCAACGAGTTCGGGGGCAAACCATGTTTTCGATATATTGCAAAAGGAACTCTCCAGGAAAGGAAACGCATCCAAGGTGACATGGCTCGTTGAAAATATGTTGCGAAAACTTGTGGTCTCCAGATCAAACAATTTGGGCGTTCGGCGGCCAAGACCGACTTGTTGCGCGACGTGAGGGAAGGAATTCGGAGATAGGAGACCGCCTCAGTTGCCATATCACGGTCTTCACTTGGACTCGCTCGGAAAACCACGGGATTCGATGATTAGATTGGATATGGTTGGTATGGGGGCTAAAACGTCGAATACTTCGGACCATAGGCCATCTTGGAGAGTTTCCGCCACGAAGCAGGAGTGGCAATTGGTGTCATTTTAGAGCGAGTTGTGCAACGACTTGAGCCTGATCAGGTTGTTCGCATCGTCTGCTCATGACCATGACTCGGACCACATCTCCGGCAAGTTTAAAGACTCTGAAGCGAGTTAGAGGTCAAAAGTGCTGAATAAACATTCCAGCGCACCTTATGTATCGCTATATGGTCTCCACTGGGAAGTCCTTTCACAACGGAGCCCATCGTACTTAACACGACGGGTTCAAGTGCTCTCCGTAGACGGCTTGATAGTCCTGATATAATACGGGTGTCTTGCAGGTCCAAATGAGAAAATGCCGCAAGCGTTGTCGTCCAAATCTTCTAATTGAAGGGGATGCAACCAACCGAACTGGCAGTACCGATGGGACCACATTCGAGGCCAGAACAAGGGTGTTTTCTGACACTGTGGGTCCGTGATGATATGCATGGTCGAGTGAAGATATAGAGATATCCTTCTTCCGACTATGGAGGCTCTGAACAAGCGCTCCAGTTGCGTGGGTCCATGTATGTCGTTGCAGTCGGGGAAGAGTTTCTGGTTGGTGACAGTTCGTGACCAACCTTTGATTTTCAACCAACTGCTCCTCCAAACCTCACTCAAGACGTTCTTCTTTCTCTGCGGGATCACCATGAGATGAAACTTGTAAGTAAAGTACAAAGCCATGTTCGCGACTTGCAGCTGCGTTGATCACCGGTATTGATGGCGCAGAATATACCGATTTCCGTTCAGAGAAGAGCAACCTGAGGCCTCTTAATGCGTGCAAGGCGGTCAGCTCAACGCTTGAAGCTCACGGCGACACGGCCAGGCACATCACGCATCACATGAACTGAATGAACCCTTTCCACATACCCATCATCACCCAAACTTTGCCGATGCTAGCACTAATTACCCTTGGGCTCGTTTTTCCTTGCTTCTGCCCTCCACCGTAATGTCTGCCTCTTGGAATTTCACGGTGGACGACACGAGTCCACTCCTTACCTACAGTGAGTTGCTTTCACCGCTCAAACGCGAGTTGTGTCGAGTCTGGTTCTTGCTCATCCATCTCCAGCTCCTTATGGTAACAGCACTCCAATTAAGCTACTCTCACTTTGACATTACGATATCTAGCCGATGGCTCAGGTTCAGGCCTCGCAAATGGGTGGATTCCGTGGTACACAGAAAACGGCTTTTTGTCCGCACCGGGAGAGGGCGGCGCTGGGGACTCGTACCACCTCACATCGCTCAGTGGAGCTTCTGTGAACCTGAAATTTTTCGGTGAGTACACTGCAACGAAAATCCTCGAAAATCGGGCTTTGACTGATCAAGGCTAGGTACCGCTGTCTATCTTTATGGCACGAGTAACAGCTCATACGACGCTGTGATCGACGATAAACGCTCGACGAATGCCCCAACGGGCTCCAACCTGTTGTTCTCTGCCACGGGATTGACCCAAGGCGCGCATTCAGGTGTGTTTCCTACACCATTTTGCTCCTCCGACTGAAAGTTTTTTCCTAGTCACGCTAACTGCTCGGCCGACTAGTTCCCAACAATTTGCGTTCGACCGTGCAGTTATCTCGGCGCAATATGAGTGCGTCTTTTGCAGCGCAGTCTTCGCGTACTTATATTCTGCAGCAATCCCCCAGCGGAGTTGTTCTACGATAACTCTGATTCTTCCGCCTTGAAATATTCCGGTAACTGGTCAACACAAAGTGCGGCTGGGATCCCCAACGCCACGGTCTCGCATCCATGGCAGCAGACAACGGACAAAGTTGCGAGTGTCTCCATGGTGGTGAGCAACGCGGTCGGCGTGTCGATATATGGGATGGCGAACTGGGGCGGCTGGGTTTACACTGTCAACGTCGATGGGAAGGAGTCGAGCTACAACGGGTCGACGTTTTGGAAGGTGCCAGATGCCCTGCTATTCTACCAGGGCGGATTGGACCCGAAGAAGAACCACACGGTTACGCTTAGTAACTCGGGGGCCGATGTCAAGTTGAACGTGAACTCGTTCCGTGTTTATACCACCAACTCGAGGGTCGCTTCGTCGTCTTCTGCTGGCCATTCGAGTGTTTCTTCTCTACGGCCTTCCCCGAGTATTGATTCAAGGTTTGGTTTCGAGTTATGTCATACATAGTCGGTCTAATTCTTTGCTAGCACTAATGTCGGGTCCGCCTCCAAGCATTCTTCAGTCAATGCTGGTGTCATCGTTGGACCGATAATAGCTGTGCTGGTGCTTGTCGTTCTAGGATGGTTACTGTGGAGGCGTTCAAAGTCAAAACACAAACAGGAAGGGGAGGGGTCAATTGACGCGTTCGAGAAGGAACCTCATCGCCCGATGTTACCCCCCACAAGCTATTCCGATGGCGGCAGTCTGGCTTACAACTCCCCCGCGACAAATAACCCAGTCCAAAGCTTTACGGAGTATGCTACCAGCTCTAATGGAACAACTGCATTCTCCGCGACGTCTAATTCGCAAACACGGATTACTTCGGGAACCGAAAAGAATGCTTTGGCCGGGGCATCACCTGTGGCCCCGCCGGTGCCGACAACGACCACACGTTCGCCTGTGTCTGGGCTTGACTCGCGGGATGTGGACCGCCTTGTCGAGCTCATTGCTCAGCGTATTGATCCAGCAGGACATAGGGAAGACGGGTTGGCGCCACCAGAATATCGGGGCATGTAAATTATGGTTTTTTGTCTTGCTGTAGCTTGAAATTCAGTGAGGAAGGAGCTATAGCCTTCAGCTTTTAACCACTTGCAAGTAGTTGTAGTGTAGTTGTATCGTGCCCGCCAATTGCTGGAGCGGCGGCAGTGGAGCCAAATCCAAGACATATGCTTGGTTCGATACTCAAGTGATGGCAAACTGAGACGGTCACACCTTACTTTTCCTTCCTTCCTTTCCACTCCCGTGTCTTCGTGAGCCGCATGAACACTGCGGTCCAAACTTCGTCTCCTCAGCCATCAAGAATACGACGGTCTAGAATTTCTTGGGCAACCAGCATCCCTTCCTCATCGTTTGACATGTAGTATGCCGCAGCGTCTTCTATTGCGACTTTCGAGGTGCTTTTTGGACCACAATTGAATCTCACAAAGTGGCCCAGGCACAGCCCGGAACGCTCCGTCTGATTCAAGCCTCCGCCACACTTTTGGCAAGCATCACCCTTACGCTCTCACTAATATCTAATACTTTACTCCATCCCATCGAGACGACAAATGACCACTGCATTTGCGCAGTATCACACTGCTCATGCGATCCAAGCTTTATGTCGAGACAGGAAGGATTAACTGGCGGTACGTATGGGTTCTCAGGGAAAGTTGCTGACCCCATGTCGTTGGAGCGGTAACTTGGTGTCGAAGTATCAGCTCAGTCATAAACGATCTCCTCATCCACATCTTGCTTTTGCTGTTCTCTCATGTCTCTTTCTCTCTTCTCAGACAACGATTGGACCCTTCCTATTAGCATCACTCTTGCAGAGCGACTCGTCTTTGATGACGGCACATGTGCGTGCTCGAGCCAGTAGGAAGCGGTGCCATCTCGTGCGTCTCCGCCAACCTGCTTTACCTTCAAACCTCGGTCCGATTTCACACTTTTTGATCACTGCTTCTCCGAGACATCGCCTACTTGGAAATACGGGAAGGATTAACCGGCGACGCGCTGACAAGTATGGGTCCTCTGGGTGCCTCCGTTGGTGTTGGGAGGATTCCTCTGCTTGTAGGGCACGTTGCTTTCCCCAGGTTGGGACGCCAAACCGGCTCTGTCAAGATGATGGTCGATCGGAGTTACGGTAACAACAGTGTTCAAAAAAGAGTATTTTCGCCTCCGCTATCAATACCAAGTACAGACAGTAAACATAATACACGCTTTCAATGTTTGTTTATTTGTTTGGCTTGCACGACAAACTAAAAGAACTGAAACGATAGTTGGTCCCATTCACTTTGCAACACCGTTTTGCTCTTCAAATCTTCTTGTTCAGCATCCTGGCCAATCGGGACTGCAGCGCAAATCGGAAGCAACTTGCTCGATGACATTGCATGTTGGTGAGGCAGTTGATCGATTCATCCTTAACTTCTTCCCACTATCGCAAGGGACTCCATAAAAAATACACCGCACAGTATCCCAGACCAGAATCGCAGTCGGCACCGCATATCGGATGAGTGAGTGTGAAACCGTCACACATCGCAACTCTTTCCTTCTCCACCAATGTTCCTCGAGAAATTGAACATCGTCTAGTGCTGCGGTACTGGCCTCCCTGCTGTCCTGTCCCGATTCAGCATCCCTTTCTTGTCGACACGCTGTCCTGTTTCCGACATGGCCTATGTTTCGACCACAGATTTCTGCATTCTCCGCTCTCTGTTATCACGGTACGTCTACGCTCAGAAGACAGTGTCCCGCTGCTAACAAATACCAGTGCCACTTGTCTCAACCTTCCTAATCCTTCCTCGACGGTATTGACTTGTTGTTTCATTCACTGGGTGCCAACGTGACTGTCATTGATCCAATGATCCCATTTTCTTGCGCTCGTTCCACGACGAACGGACCTTCCTACTTGCATCACTCTTGCAGAGCGACTCGTCTCCGATGGCACCTAAGCGTGCTTGAGCCAGTAGGAAATAGTACCGTTTCGTGCGTATTCACCAATCCCTCCCGATTCGTCTTCAAGCCTGGCTTGATTTCACACTTGTTCTCCACTGCTTCTCCAAGCTGGCACCACTTTGGAATACGGGAAGGAATAACGGGCCTGCGCTTTACGATTATGGATCCTCAGGTTGCTCCGGAAACGGCGTGGTGGCCGGAGGATTCCTCTGCTTGTAGGGCACAGTACATACCCCCGCCAAACCGTCGCTTCCAAGGCTGGCGATCGATTGGCAGTAACTGCGGTGTTGAACAAGGGTGTTTTCGCTTGCCGTGTTCATATCTCAATAACTGTATTACCATGCGAGATGTACACTTGATTACTTGGCCTAAGAGAGACAATGATTGACGGTTTTGATTATTTTTTTGCTCTTGATAAGCCTGTGCCCATCCTGTTGGATAATGTCAGTCTTTCGTTGACAACACAGACTGTCAGTAAGAGTTGCCCACCTTGTTATCACCGTCAACAGGTGCATTCGTCAAATCCTCAAGCACCGTCTCAGGAGCATCCACCACCTCCCCACCATTTGAATCGACACCGCTAGCCTGCGAATCAGAGATAGACGAGACACCAGAGCCTTCCCCGTCGGATGCAAGTGCCAGATCTTCTCCTTCGATGGCGGACTCGCGGCGAACTTGTGCTTGGAAATCAGAGTATATCTTGCTGACGTCCTCTTGACCAGGTGTGGGCTATTGTTCAGTCAAACAAGCAAAAAGATAGGTTGAATGCGTACAGGGAAAGACGCGGTCAAAGCATCGCGGAATTGGTCGCCCGATTGCGGAGTCGTTGGCTCCTGTTGTGCATAAAAAGATGCTTTATCACGCGACCACACAATGGTACCTTGGATGTCAGTGGCTTGTTATCCTGTTTTGACAGCAATGAGATGAAGGCATTGGTGGGGAATAGAATATGCCATACCCCGGGCTCATCGTGCGAAGTTGCAGGATCCTGTTGAACAGACGGATAACCAGAGAGCACCTCCGAGTCGTTTGCATTGAGTTTTAGGAAGCTTGCTGGGGGACGGGGGACTTGAAGAACATCGAGATGGTGATGCCATAGTTCAACGACCTGAGCGGGCGATCTTTTGACACCGTCAGAACACAGAACCAAAGGCCGACTTGAAACAAAAGCGTCTTCTTCGCAAGTTGGAGAGGTGCTGACGGTATGCGCGACGTTAGAAGTAAACAAATTGCTGTTGAAATCACGGAGTGGCGGGTTGGCGACAGTTGCTATATCCTCAGCAGCACGCAGTAAGTCGTCGCCTTCCAGCGCAGTAAGATTGGCATCGGTAGTGTGGAGAGGGTTAGGGACAAGTATAGGCTCGGCGAGAGTAGACTGCGAGGCATGATTATCAGTAGCCAACACAGCGAGTTATTGTGCGACATACCGCATTGGCTCTATGAATGCTGCTGGTTTCTCCACGAGGATGAGCCTCCCAGTAATGAGTCGATGAGCACGAAACAGCTTGGGCATACCAAAGAAACATCCGACTAGAAGACTAAGGGTGAGCTAGGCCTACGACCAAATACTAGTATACGCACCCGTGCGTTCTTCCAGCCGGGGGGTGGTGGAGGCCGAACAAGGGGGGTAAGTTTGGGGAGATATGGGTTGCGCGCGGGCTTCAGGGTCTTGGAAAGGTGCTGTTCCATGGCAAGAGATTGAAGAGAAGGTGGATGTGACACGACACCTCCTCCGCTTATATAGGCCGAAATCCTCTTGTAACGCAAAAACGCGAGTTCACTAAGCTGGCGCAGTTCTTTTCTTCGCATCGCCCACAGAAACACTCCTCCCACCTTCCATCTCAGTTTATTCATAGTTGCCAAGTATTCGAGCCGACAAAGGGTTGTCAATGAAAAAGAGTCAAAATACGAGCGCGATTATCGACGAGATCAGAAAAAAGCCAAGATGTGAGCTGGGTTGGTCCGATATTCTGCCCGCTCAGGACACATGGAGGGTATGCTGAAGGTCTTTCACCAGGCACTGGCAATTAGCCAGAAACGCAAATTCGTGCCAGGAGACAATTTCTTACACACCTAATTCAAGTTGCAGAGGTACTAGCTGCGTCCGGTAGATCCACAACACCGTAAACCAACTGATTTCTTTCTTCCTGGCTCAGAGAGCGAACGACAAGTTTTCCGAAAAGACAAGGCGCCAATTGTTTGATTGGCGATGCCACGACTCATCTGTTCAAACATCATGATCCAGAAATGTTGTGCTCAGACGTTATAGATCTTCAAGTCGCGATTCGCATACTCGAGGTTACTCTACTGGTTCCAGCCGGAATCACTCTATCGGCAGCATTGTTTTTATGGTGTAGTAGCTTTGCAGTCTAAGGGACCATTCGTCCAGTCATTGACTATTTATTTTATTCCAGGCAGGTTTCATCGTTGACTGCAAGGCTTTGCAACGAACAACCCTGCCTAAGATGCAGACAGACAAGACCGTGAATCATGACGCCGACTTGTTATCGCTGGCCGAATTGTTGGAGAGCTCTGAGTTGTGTGCTGTTGTTTTGGTTGACTCTGGTTTTACTCGCAGCTTTCTCATCAAGTGCCGGTGAAAACACTGTCGCTTGAACTTGTTTGCTTACGGCTTTCCTTCCTTCCAGGTCTTGTCAAGCTGAAGATCATTTAACAGAGCCAACTCCGAGTCCGAGTCGGTCTGAACCCGCCTGAACGTAACCCAAGTCACCAGGAGCAGATTTAAAGCGTTCATTTGAGGTTAGTACCAGCTAGTCTGGCAGAAACTTGACATCCCTCACCTCAGGAGTCGGTCGGATCGCTTTGCATCGACAGATCCTACCATGGCACAACAATGTTCCCGCGACGCACTATCGCAAGCCTGAGAGTACTCGGAACTGCGGCGCAAATCAAAGGTTGCTAATCAGAGACGATCTGTCGGATACTGGCGACCGCGAATGAGACAGTCACAAATTGCAACTCTTTCCTCTCCACCACGCACTTGAGACCGTTCGTTTGGGACATTAAGCAACGAGGCTCCACACTCCGCCGTTCAGTATCCCAGTCGACCTTTGGGAGACGAAGTTTTACTAATCATCAAGTTTATAATAGTGCCACTCGTCTCGAAATGCACATCGAATACCTCGTTGCTCGACTCATCGTATACATGAGCACTAGGTTGTTGGTCGGTTCTGCTCCGCGACAAACACATCATGTGCCCTGGACCACCGTTACTTCGCCCAAAAATCTAATTCGACAGGAGATCGTGGCTGGAACTGGTAATATATTCACTTGCTGTTTCTCTCTCTCCTCTTTCCTTGCTGGTTGGTCGACTGTACTGGCCTGACGACGAGCGGGCCGTCCTATCAGCATCACTCTGAATCTTGCAGAGCGACTCGTCTTACATAGACGGCGCATGTGCGTGCTCGAGCCAGTAGGATGTGGTGCCGTTCCTCCGTCTTCGCCAACCCTGCTTTACGTTTAACCTCGGTCCAATTTCATGCCTTTTCTCCACCGCTTCTCCAAGACATCGTCTACTCGATATACGGGAAGGAGTAACGGGCGATGCGCTGACAAGTATGGGTCTTCGGGGTGCCCCGGGCAACAGCGTGAGAGACTGGTTGACCCCTCTACTCGTCTTGCACATTGCTTACCCCATGTTGGGACGCCAACCCGGCTCTGTCAAGATCGATGGTCGATTGGCAGTAACAGTAGTGCCGAATAGGAATGTTTTTGTCTCCGCCGCAACTGATGTTTCATTCGTGTGCTCCACTATCAATACAACTTTCTTTTTGACTTCTGATGCGTGGCGTTTACGGGAATTCGAAAAGCGATCCAGCGTCCTTCTTTCTTTGATTCAACACCCTGTATGTGGTTGCTTGTCGGTTGACGTCCTATCGAGAGATTAGTGAACGATTTAACACTAGGTAGCATGTACCACCCACCTTGAGTTCTTCGACATCGATGATGTTGGTCATATTCATTGCAAAGGCGTTATGACGGCCTAGAGCGTCCTTAAAAGCTTCGAGGTCTGGTTGGTTAGTTATATCCGTGGCAAAGTCTTCAGACTGGTTCGCAGCCAGAGTGTTGTTCCGAGTCGAGGCTGATTTACCAAACACGTTGGTGTTGCGACCTTCGGCGTTGGTCGACTCCTCTACTTGAGCTGATGGTTTCGAAAAGACGGGAATGATGTCCTGTTTTTATGAATTAGGATCCTACCAAGCGCCAACAACATTCAACTCACTGGGTCGAACGAGCCGCTGTTGACGCCAAGTAGCTCACTTGCCGCTGTTGGGGCCGATGATTTCTGTCGAGGGCCGGTCAATGAGAAGACTGAATTTGAGGTTGAGAAGACCAAACCGTCAGTGCAGTCAAAAATGTCTTTCGGAAGACAGTATCGTCAGCTAGCCTGGCTCCACCCCCTGGGACCAGGTGCTCATCATTGATAGCCTAGTCGTTCATGTAAAGGACGAGATATTTCGCATAAGACACCACATCAGGGGCCTCTTCAGGCAAGAGCACAAGTTCTGCGGTATTCTCGATGGTGGACGAGTTGTGCGGAAAGTCAAAGGGCAGAGGGAAACCTGCTGCTTCATAAAAGGCAGGGGAATTGAAGAGTTTTTCGAGAGCATCATCAACTGCGGGATCCTCCAATGCTAATTCCAAATCGGTATAAGCCAAAGCATCAACCATCGTCAGATCCGGGTGCTGGTTAGCTGGCAATAGCTGCAATTCAAGATTGTTAGAATTTGTCGCTAATTGTGAACGGTGACATACGTTGTTTTCGACAAAATCATCCCCGAGCTGAGCTTCCCCGACGCTTTCCTTCACCTGGTATTCCTCGCCGTCCTCGTAATCATCCTAGTAACGATAAACAAGGGGAAGAGGAAAACGAGCTTAGGCATACATCAGGTGAATGCTGCATTCAGGTGAGCGACTTTGGTGTATGATTGCAACGGGCACATACTGGGTCTAACAGGCGAGCTCGTTGTGAAGGAAAGGGAATAGGTGCTGGCGTTGGCAGGGTAAGGCCGGAATAAGAGGCAGCGTCGTCCAGTTCTGGAGTCACGAACTCTGCTCGTCTCCTCGCTTCGTCTACTGTGTTGATCTCTTTGAAGGCGGAATAGGTAGGCGTAATAGCAACATCGGTCCTCTTGCTGGGAGATGGGGAGATATATGCACCAGCAGGAGGGCTGGGCCGCGGCAGAGGCATGAGCATAGGGAGCAGTGGGTCGTTCTGCATTTGGGAGAAGGAGAAGATCGACGATGTGACGCGACGCGTTTTGGCCCCCAATCGCGAGTAAAAACCATGAGTCCTAGCAGATCCAATGAAGCAGGCGCGTCAACCTTTTGCTCCTTTGTCGCCGTCCTGATGAATGCGCTCACAATAAGCTTGGTCAGACATAAAACATTAGTTTTCAGTCTGAGGACTCCTTCGTTTTTTCTCTTTTCGCGGCGGCGCAGCCCAAAGTCGCCGCTCAAATAAAACCGCTTCCCACTGTTTGTCTCGGGCTGGTGCTTAGGCTTGTCCTCGATAACGAAAACAAGCTTTTTGACAAGATGGTAGCGGGAGTGTCAAGAAGTTTTGGCTTGACCAAGAGATGGACGTGTTTATTCTCTTTTGCTGCTCAAGCGGACAAAACTGGCAAGATTGTCCTAATTCAAGGTATGAGCTGTAACTGGAAAGTATCAATGCGTGTCTGACGAGAATGGTGGCTTTTCACGTACCAGATTTCCCTGCCCACCCAACTAGATCGCATGCCAACCCGCTCCTCCTATTACTCCGGAAGCTCTCTTCGTCGTTTTGAACATGAGAGAAAGAAAGAAAGGTGAAAGTGCCTCGGCGCTAATCACAATTTGATTCGCGAGTGACCAGATAGTTACTTGGCAACGACCTCGTTCGACAGGGCCGACTCGATCTAACCAATTGCCTCATGTACTATGGGTAGCCTAACTCACGAGGCACGGTCGCCTGACGGAAACTTCACATCTCCCACTTCAGAATGCAATCGGACCCCAAAACTCTCCACTTCAGGGCTCTGTCCGGCTCTAATGACTCAAAAATATTTCCCCAACGCACAATTCACGAACAAGCAATATCGCAAGAGAGTACTTCGATACACTGGCACAAATGAATTGCTGATCAGAGGCGATGTATCGGATATTGTGAATAAGACAGTCACAAATTGCGACTCTTTCCTCTCCATGCACTCGAGGGGTCGTTCGGCTGGGCAAACATCTGCATCTCAACCAACAAGCTTGCGACGGTGTCTAGTAGCGACTTATCACTCTTCGTCTACGCTCGGGAGACCAAGTTCTAGCGACAACAAAGTTCAGTGCCACTTGTCTTAAGATGCCCGGCGAATGCTCGTTACTTAGCTGACCATAGGTTGTTCGTCAATTCTGCTCTGAATCCAACGTATAATCCACAGCGGAGGGCTGTCGTATCTCAACACGCACTTCCCCGCATCGACTTCGACAGAAGGCCATGGCTAGGACTGGTGAATGTATTGACTCGCTGTCACCTTCTCTCCTCCTTTCCCGCTGGTCTATTCCGACGACGAATGGGCCTTCCTATTCGCATTGCTCTTGCAGAGTGACTCGTCTTCGACGGCACATGTGCCTGCTTGAGCCAGTAGGAAACGGTATCAATTTGTCCGTCTTCGCCAACCCCTGCTTTACCTCCAATGCCGGTCCGATTTCACGCCCCTTCTTCACCACATCTCCAAGCTGCACAACCCTTGAAATCTGGGAAGGAACGACGGACGATGCGCATGCGATCAGGAGCTCTCAGGGGCTCCGGTAAAACGTGGGAAACTGGAGAACCTTTTTGGTCGCAGTTGCACATCGTATACCCCATGTTGGGACGCCAAACCGGCTCTTTTGAGGTGTTGTTTGAATGGTAGTAACCGTGTTCCTGTACGAAGGCGTGTTTTCGTGACCATATGTTGTTACAATGATTTAAACATAATGTCTATGATACCTGACTACCTTTAAGCCACCCACTGGTACATACAATTACAACACGACTTGACGAGTTACTTTACGTTTCCCAGCATCGTTCTGGAACCAATCAATAGAGGCACCAATCAATAACACATATATTGACTCACCTGAACTTGCCCATTGAGACCAAAGTCTCGAGACCAAAGACTTGCATCCCCGAGCTGGAACACTTTCTTTGACACCCCATTGTTTTCGACTCCGTCACCACTGATGTGCGACACATTCGACTCCTCGTTAGGCTCGTTAGCAACCGTGTTGCTGATATCAAATGCAAAGTCTGCATGCCGGTTCGCAGACAGAGTGTCGTCTGTTCCTTGGGGACCAACCAATTCTTCAATCGAATTGACAATGGCAGTGCCGGTCTGCGTCTCGTCTTGGGCCGATAACTTTGGAAGGACGGAATCGGCCTTTCTGCGGGTTAGAACTTTATCAAGGTTGAAATCATCCAGCATACTGGAAGCGAGCCATGTGTCTTGCTATTGACAGCCTGCCCGTCTATGGTGTTCGACGAGTTCTGTACATGGTGAGTCAGAAGACCCGATTTGAGGTCGACCATAACAAACCATGAGCGCAGCCGTCACCATCTGGTTTTCGTCTGAGATGGACTGATTGTTCAGATACTCGATGATACTCTCGGAGTAATCAACATGAGGGGCCTCTTCAGGCAAAGACACGAGATCTGGGGCAATATTGTCGATGGTGGATGCGTCAAGTGGAAGATTCAGTGCGTTATGCAACTGAAGATTGTCGATCACGGCATTCAAACCGTCGGTCACTTCTGGGTCATTCAACAGCGAAGCCAAGTTAACGGTGAGGATGGGGTTATCTGCTGCTGGCAACGACTACGATGTCAAGCTGTCAAATTTTGAAACTAGACTTATAAACGGTGACTTACAAAGGCAGGTTCAAATTCGGCGTCTTCAGGTTTACCATCCTCATCCTAGCAGTGATGAACAAGTAAACGAAGAACGATGTGAGTGTGGGCATACGAGAGGTGATCTCTGCATTAGTGTTATTAGTTGTTGAGGTACTATATCATGGAGACGGGGTACATACACAGTTCACAAGACGATTTGGACTTGGAGGGAACCGGGTAGGTGCTGGAATGGGCTGGTCGGAGAACTTGAGATAATTCTGGGAACACAGAGTATAATCTTGAGGTGAAAGGGTTTCGATCTTGTCTGGGTGAGAGAGGCTGGTAGACTGTGAGTGTGCCTCCCCGTGGTTGGACACTTGATGCAGCGGCCTGTCGTTCTCGGGTCCGTCGACACTAGCCTCAGGAGTGGCTGGTTCGTTGGTTATATCCATCACCAAGTCTTGATACTGGTTCGCAGCCAGCGTGTCGCTCGCAGTCGAGGCTGAGTCGCCAAACACGTTGGTGTTGCTACATTTAACGTTGGTCGGCTCCTCTATTTCAGCTGATGGTACCGAAAAGACGGGAATGATGTCCTGTTTTTGTGGGTTAGGATCCTATCGCGCGCCAACAACATTCAACTCACTGAATCGAACGAACCCCGATTGTTGCTGTTGACGCTAAGCATCTCACTTGTCATTGTTGGGGCCGACGATTCCTGTCGAGGGCCGATTCAATAAGACCATGTGAGCTTGAGAAGACCAAACCATCAGTGCAGTTAAAAATGTCTGTTGGAAGACGGTATTGTCGGCCAGCCTGGCTCCACCCCCTGGGACCAGGTGCTCATCATTGATAGCCTGGTCGTTCATGTAAAGGACGAGATCTTTCGCATAAGACAACACGTCAGGGGCCTCTTCAGGCAAGAGCACAAGTTCTGCAGGATCCTCGATGGTGGACGAGTTGTGCGGAAAATGAGATGGCAGAGGGAAACCTGCTGCTTCGTAAAAGGCAGGGGTATTGAAGAGTTTGTCGAGAGCATCATTGACTGCGGGATCCTCCAATGCTGGTTCCAAATTGGTATAAGCCAAAGCATCGACCATCGTCAGATCCGGATGCAGGTTAGCTGGCAATAGCTGCAATTCAAGATTGTCAGAATTCGTCGCTAATTGTAAACGACATACTGTGTTGTTTTCGACGAAATCATCCTCGAGCTTGGCTTCCATTTTCTCTACCTGGTCCTCCTCGCTATCCTCGTGATCGTCCTAGTAACGATAAACGAAGGGAAGACAATGACGAGCTTGGGCATACCATCGGCGAGTCCTGTGTTCTGGTGAGCTACTTTGGTTTTATGATTGTAACGGGCACATACTGGGTCTAACAGGCGAGATTGTTGTGAGGGAAAGCGAACAGGTGTTGGCGTTGGCGGGGTAAGGCCTGAAGGAGAGGCAGCGTCGTCCAGCTCTGGAGTCACGAGCTCCGCTCGTCTCCTCGCTTCGTCCGCTGAATTAATTTGTTTGAATGCAGAATAGCTCGGCCGTGCATATATCATAGCAACGTTGGTTCGCCGACTGGGAGATGGGGAGCGATATGCCCCGGTAGGAAGGTTGGGCCGGATAAGAGGAATCAATTTCGGGAGAGAGGGATCGGGTTGCATAGTGGAGAGCGAAATAAGAGAGTCTATGTGACGCGACGCGTCCTAGCCATAAAGATGGACCCGCCAAGTTCTAGATCAGCAATATCTAATCAAGCAGGCGCGTTTTTTATCTTCTTCTCGTCGTTGTCGCCAATAGAATACCTCCAGACAAGCTCAGTAGCGACACGACCCCAGTTTTCCTTGCTTCGTTTCCTTCTCACTGCTCACAGAAAGTCTCCGCTCTTCGTCTTGGGTTGACATGCTGGGGGTCGACTTGATGAAAACGCAGCTGAGTCTTGCAACGGTTATAGCCGGGTTGCGGGCAAGTTTCGAAGACATCGGGCATAATCAGGACAAGAACGAATCGCTTTCTTCTTGCTACTCGAGCAATACACGACTGCAAGATTCTTGAAGCTTCAAAGCATCAATGTGTGTTTGACGAGGGTAGTTCTTTTTTTCGCATACCTGAATGCTCCTCCACCGGCTGCCTGCCCAGCCACCTCGCATTCCAGCCCAATCCTCCCTTCGGAAGCGCTCTTTCTCGGGTTGACCATGACGGAACGAAAGAAAGGTGCAATTGGCTCGGCGCTAATCACAATTTGATTCGTGAGTGACTAAATTACTTGGCAACCCGGTCTTGACCGCACCGTGAGCAAACGACTCATCGTTCTCACTCTCAATCGACCGCATCTGGCATAAACGCCAATACCCATATCACTAGGTGCGTGCTATTGTCTCAAGTTGAAGACTCTTTTTCACTCACCTTTCATTCAGTCCGGCCAAGCCAAGTGGAAGACGGCCTCGTTAAACAGAGCCAACTTGGTCTAAGCCACTGATGCCCCCCATGTGGTGTAAGCAGGTGAAAGATATGGTGGCACTGTTCAACAAAGAAATCTCGGTCTGAATACGACACAATCATCTCTATGTTGACTCGTCTCAAGCAACAGAGCAATTTCATGCTCGATTTCTAGTCAGCGTCCTTGTTAATGGAAGCAAAAGTCTTCTATCTGCGCAACTTGTCCCGAACCGATTCCCTCGTCGTCGTCTCCACTCTGCGCGTTCCCCCCACTATCTCAGGCGACCCCGTAGCAATATTGTTCATCCATCCCCCTTCGATTGGGAGCAAGATTTGTACGCGCACCAACAACTCGGTCTCAAGAATTTACGACTCCTGTTTGGCTTGACGTTGCGCCCACTCGTCAAACTTCTTGCTTCAATGTAGAGCCTCCGACTACAGTAGAGGAGAATTAAAAGCAAAGTTATCGGGGTTATTTGACGTCTTTTGAAAGGTATACCTCGCTTTTCGATAGGTCAATTGACCGAGCACCAATAGTTACGGTTGAAACCTGTTGAAACTCGGGCAAGTTGAAAGCTAATATTTCGTGTTCAAATCCAGTTGGCAGCGTGGAAGATGAGCCTGGGGATGGACGAGATTATAATCGTCCCGAGCTTCCTCCCACCACCGCAAGCAATGAACGATCCTAATATGCTACCAAATCCGTAGGCAGTTATCGTTGGTGTCATTCGCCATCGAATATCGGATGAGTGAGTGTGAGACAGTCACACGTCGCAACTCTTGCCTTCTCCTCCCTCGAGAAATCGATCTAACGCCATAGGACAGGTCCCTGCCATTCGTCATGAACAATTGTGTCAGACTCAACATCTTCTTCCCTTCACCAAGTTATGTTTGTTTGCGGCATCAGTTACCTTTCGACCATGAGCATTCCATGGCGTGTCTACGCTTAGGAGACAGTTTCACTGTTGACGAAGACCACCATTTGCTATTCCTGACACATTCCTCTATCGACTTGTCAATCTGGCACTCCTCTTTCTTCCACTAGTCTGACGACGAATGGGCCCCCTTACTTGCATTGCTCCCGCAGAGCGATTCGTCTTCTTGACGGCACATACGCGTGCTCGAGCCAGTAGGGAATGGTGCCATCTCGTGCGTCTTCACCGACCGCCCGCTTCTCCATCAAGTCAGGATAGTTTATGCATCCTTTTTCAACTGCTTCTGCGAGCTATCAGCGCCTCGAAATACGGGAAGGAGTAACAGGCGATGCGCTTACAAATACGGGTCTTCGGGGTGTTTGGCTGCTTAGTATCACGAGGACTCCCCTGCTTGTGGAGCACATCGCGTACCCCAGGCTGGGGCGCCAACTCGTCACTTTCAGGGTTGCTGGTCGAAAACGTAGTAAACATAATGTTGAATAAGAGCGTTTTCCCTTCCTCCACAACTTGTTGACAATAGTAGAGATTCTCGACCTTGGACTAATATTAATACATTCGCGCTGTTCAACAAAGAAAACATCTAATCGCAGGCACGACGCGGCACAAATGCGTCGACTTGTAGAGCAATTTCATAATTACTCGATTTCTGGTTGAATCGAAGCAAAAGTTTATCTGTGCAACTTTCTCCCAGCCGATTTCCTCGTCGTGCCCTTTCTCACCGACAGTGCCATTCGCCATTGATGATCGAATGAAAAATCGGAGGCGGAATATCGGATGAGTAAGACAGTCACATCGCAACTCTTTCCTTCTCCACTATCCACCACCAGGCTCGAGAAATCGAGCATCGTCTAAGGCTATCCGCTAGCTACTTGCCCGTGGACTTGTTCATCGACTCATTCAGTCTTCTTCATGCCACGACTGGGTCTCCTTACTCGCATTACTCCTGCAGAGCGATTCGTCTCTGACGGCACATGTGCGTGCTCGAGCCAGTAAGACAGGGCACCAGGTCGTCCGCATACACCAACCCTCATCTTCCACCCTCAAGTCGGGTCCGATTTCGCTCTCTTTTGTCAACTGCTTCTCCGAGCTATCACCATCTAGAAATGCGGGAAGGAGCAACGGGCGATGCGCTTGCAAGTATTGTCAGCGGGGCGTTGGGTTCTCAGTTTCACGATGACGTCTATACTTGTGTGGCACATTGCATACCCGGGCTGGGACGCCAAACCGCCTCTTTCGGGATCGGGGGCCGAGCGGAGTAACTGCATTCTCAAAACGAGAGCGCTTTCATCCATTATAATACATTTTGTCTCTTGAATAATCTCAGTCTATCAAAGCTGCCCTCACAAGCCACTAATAGTGCCCAACTGTACTCCAACTTTGTCCTTGGGTGATTGGCGGATATTCTGCTAAGGAATCATTAGAACCAGTGCGCATAGCACTCAAGAGCCACACACACCTTGGCGTTGACTTGAACATTGGTGATATCGTCAAGCACTAGCTCTTCTCCAGCGCATTCCTTCTCGGGAACCAACTCTGCCTCCTCTACTTTGATTCTTGAGCGCCGAACCTCTTCCTTGAGTGCCTCGTAAATCTCGGCAACATCTTCTTCGCCGGGAGAAGGCTAGTATTGGTCAAGTAAACACGCAGTCATCAACATATATGGAGTTTGAACGCGTACCGGGAAATAGCTTGTCAGGATTGCGAGCAACGGATCGCCGGCGTGCTCCGTCATCGGGTTCTGTTTTGCGCAATAAACAACAAACAATATCATGAGATAGCAGGACGCACCTGGCCCTCGGAATCGGGTGAGTTGCCGTCCTATTTGACAGCGATGAAATGGCGGTATATTTCGAGCTGGACAACATACCAGATCATATCCACAATATATGTTGTCGTGGAGGGCTTCATAGTACAGCGTTTCCGCGTTGGTGGAGTGGTCAGAGAACTTGAGATGATTCTGAGAACACAGAGTATCGTTTTGAGGGGAAACGAGTTCAATCTTGTCTGGCTGAGAAAGGCTGGGTGGGGGGCGGGAAACAAGCAGCTCGTCCGAAGTGTCGGCGAGCCAGAGATTGATTACATCGGCGAGTGGTCTTTGGACATTGTCGGAGCAGGTAAAGTAGAGTTGCCAAAAGAAGATATCATCCGCTTGTAGGGGTAGAGTGTTGAAGGTGTTCGCCGAAGTGAAAGATCGTGGGTTGAGGCAAATGATTTTTGGGGTCTCACTAGTTGCAATTCTCTGCGCAGCTCGGAATAAATCATGCCCTTCCAGAGAAGCGAGATCGGCGTTGTGGACAGGGTGGGGTCGAGGAGCAGGCATGATCAATGGGTTGGCGGGAAGCGACAGTAGCTGAGAGAGTTGTCAGCAGTCATGCAGCGGGTTGTTGCGCGACATACGGCGTTGGGCGAGTTAGAGATGTTGTTGTCTTTTCTTTGGCGGACGGGAGCCTATCAACCGTGAGCGAGGAACAAGAAATAGCTTTAGGCATACGAGAGGGATACCCGACTATAATATCAAGTGCGAGTTGGTCATTTTCGGTACTCATATGAAGGGGCCACATACACGGGCCAGCTCGTTATCCCAGCTCGGGGGTGGAGGAGGTCGCTTTAATGGAGTCAATGTTGGTAGGTATGGATGATGTCTTGGTTTTTTCTTGCTGCTGAGGTGGTGGTTCATCGTCAAAAGTCGTCGATGTGACGCGCTTTCACCCCAAATCCAATCCTCCACCGGTGATGGAAAAACGCGATCCAGTTGAGCTGGCGCGTTCCTTTTTCTTCACCATCGCCAATGGGACTTTCCCTCCAAGTTGCTTGATGATAAGCAAGAAACCAGATTCTCCAAGACTCCTCCATTTTCTCTTCGCATCACCTAATAGAACGTCTTGTCCGCCCTGCATCCAATTCCATTCTTTATCGCACATATCAGCCGAATTGACGAAGTTTCGCGGCACAGTCTTGAAGAAGAGCGCGTTTGTCGCCGGGATCAGACACAGCCAAGATGTTGTGAGTGGCTCGCCTCCCTTCTCCTCGCTTTTTGGATGGATGATTTGATGATATATATATTTTGTAGGTAATGGGAGGATGACTCAGCTCTGAGCCCGCTATGCTCCTGGAGAGGGAGGGCCTCGGTAGCCCACTGTCTAGCTAGCAAAAACTAAAACAAGCATGCAAAATAAGGCAAAGGGATGGGTGGGTGGGGACAGAAAAGGAAGGGAAGAGAGGCAGTGAGGAGGGAGGTAGGGAGACAGCAACGACGACGACGAGCGCGAAAAAGAGAGTGATGGTGATGTGACAGTGTGATGGTGCTCACTGCCCAATCCCGACGGTCTCGCCAGACCACCCAGGATTGGGACACGCTCGCTTTTTGGATGGATGATTTGATGATATATATATTTTGTAGGTAATGGGAGGATGACTCAGCTCTGAGCCCGCTATGCTCCTGGAGAGGGAGGGCCTCGGTAGCCCACCAAGGAGAGATCTGAGCGTGCGACCAGCCAGAGGAGGGGGAGCAAGCAGCGCAGATGCCAGAGGCACTCCATCAGACACGCCAACCCCCTTCGCGGCGGGCCAACTCTGGGGAACGGGTCGGTGGAGGAGGAGTGGGCATAGCAAGTGTCGACGAGGAAGAGGCAGCTGTCGCAGACAGGCCCCGCGGCGGCTGCTTACGGACAGCCACCCTTGGACGGTCACCCCCTTGCGTTGCGCTGGGGGGGGGGATCGGCTGGGACATGACCACTATGTGGGGACAGACTCGGTGGAGGGAGGCGAATAGTGAGACGAGGAAGACGGGGGTCCGGGGCCGGAGGGCGGTTCGGTAGACGTCGGGAGAGGGATGGAGGAGTTGAGACCGGGCGAGGCAGTAGGGGGGCGGCTTGTGCAGGCGGGAAGACAATGTGCGAAGAACCGACAAAGGCTCATCCACGTACAACTTCCACGCATCCGATTTCCACCGGCCAAGAAGCTTGATTTGCTCAGGCGAGTAGCCAGCCTCCGCGGCAGCAAATGCAGCACCACGGCGGAAGCTATGACCAGAGAACTCACTGGGATCATAGCCCGCCTTGGCCAGATAGTCGTCGCGGCAGCGCAGTGCAAAGGAGCGGGTAAGAGGCGAGCCAGCCGAAGTGACAAAGAGCGGCGCAAATGGGGAAGTTGCAGGGTGGATATCGCGATATGCACGGAAACGTGCGACAGGGCAGGTCTCTGCCCCTGGCGCAGCACCGACCAGCACACATGCCCCACGGCGGCCCACGTCCGTCTTACTCGCCTGAATATTACAGAGCAAGGAGTGGTCTGTAACGGCCGTGACACAAGCTTCCGAAAGGTTGAGCGAAGGGTCGAAGACAGCCCCATCAGCAACCGTAAACTTCGCCGCACCGCATGAACGCAGCCCATGCCAACGTAAAGGCTGACGCCAGCATCCTACCATCATGATCGGTTGGGAGCTGCGCCAAGACTGCCGCCAGGATATCCCGAGTGATTGGGCGGCGTGGGCGACGAGGCTTTGTCCCATAGCAGTGCTCAGCCCCCGCAATGATCCTCTTGAGAATCGGGCTATAAAGCGCGTCCATCGACCAGCCATGCTCAGCGTGAATAGTGCGAAGGCTGGTAAGGTACTTGCTGAGGGTGGCGGGCTGGACGAACTCTGCTCGGGTTGCGAGAAAGAGCTGTACTGCGGAGGGTTCGGCAGGGGAGGACAGACCCGTCTGGGCGAGTGAATCCACGTTCATGGGCGAACTTGCAGAACATTGCAACATGACCATCGTACTTGGCACGAGTTGACTCCCGTAAGCTGAACCAGACGAGGCGGGCGACGGTTGGGTGGAGATGCGCATGGGCCGCGAGCCAGTCCGATGAGGGAGCACCCAGGCCGGGCGGAGGGACGCGAGCCTGGACCACTGAAAACGGGACAAAGCATCAGCGACAGAATTCTCAGCAGTAGGAATCCAAACAGAGTGAAAGGTGAAGCCCTCCGCCGATGCCAATAATGCGAACGTCCGAAAAAGAGCCTGTGTCGGCGGGTGGTCAATGGAGCCTGAGTTCAGACACGTCGCAATAGCTTCATTGTCAACATGAAGAACGACCTCATAGCCCCGCCAGTGGGACCCCCATAGCTGTGCCGCCCGTAAGACTGCCCACATCTCCTTCCAGTGTATTGGCATGGCCATCCTGCGCTTTGGGCAGCGTTCCGCAAAATAGACATCATCCCAGAAGCCCCCAAGGCCCAGCTTGCCGCTTGCATCTGTCCACACCGAGATGGCCGGGCGGAGGAGGACGAATAGCAAAGGAGCCATTGAAGATGGGAAGGTACTGCTGCCACCAACGCAAATCCTTCCGGGCCTCGGCGGGGATTCGGCGCTGTAGAGAATGGGGAAGGGCCACAAGAGTCCGCATGAAGTCCCGAACACGACGCGTGAAGAAGCGAGCAGCAGGTATAACAGCCTGAGCAAAGACAAAGTGGCCACAAAGTTGCTCCAACTCATGATAGGAGGAAGAGCCCCGGCTTAGACAGCGCTCGACCATACCAGCCAGGCGGGTGACCTTATCAGCAGGGAGCCGTGCCTCCATCGCCACAGTGTCAAGTTCTACTCCGAGGAACTCCAGGCAGTGGCAGGGACCCTCCTCTTTACGCACAGAAAGCGAGAACCCAAGCTCCCGGGAAGTTGCGCGGAAGCTGTCACGTGCGTGAGTAGCATAAGCCAACCCATCCGACGCGAGCGTGACGTTCAGCCAATCGTCCAGATAGTGCTGGATATCGGAAAGAGACGCATGGCGGTGTTGAAGGATCCAATGATGGGCTTCCGCGAAATAATTGTAGATCCGAGGGGCTGTGCGAAGGCCAAAGGGGAGGAAAATGTCAAGGAGGGTACGGCCGCCGCCAAGTAAAGCCCATAAACCTCCAGTCCGCTGGGTGAATGGGAATATGCCGAAAAGCTGCCTCCAGGTCAGCCTTGTAGAGAAAGGCACCAGGCCCCGCCCGGCGGATGCGATCGATGGCCATGGCAATAGAGTCGAAAACAAGAGTGCCGAACTCGACTGGGATAGCATCATTAACTGAGTGAAGACGAGGCCAAGACAGATGATGAATCCTGCGGCGCTTAGTCGTGTACTTTTTTAGGGACGGAGCCCAGAGGGGAGAGGAAGGCGGAGGAGGCGAGTGGGGTCCCAGTCACGTCGATAATGCGGCCCAGGTCGACCTCCGTCTTGACGTCAGAGTCTACTGCGTCAGGAAACTCGAGGGCCGGGGGAGTGGGGGAGGGGGAACAAGTTTTCGACGAAGGAGATGAGTATGAACCACGCCAATATGGACACCATAGCGACTGCGGCTACCACTGATTGAGCGAAGTGACGATCAGGATACTCGGCCAAGGCGGTCTCCCAGGCTGGAGCATTCAAGCGGACAAGGGGCATAGGGAGGGAGTGAGGAGATGTTAGAGGAAATAGAATATGTGTATTAGGTCGAGCTGGTAGTGACGACAGGATAGGCGGAGCATTAACGATCTTTGAAATTATAGAAAAAGCATGGTCAGCATCGGTTCCCAGAACATAAGAGGGGAGTGAAAAGACTTTCCTCCTCGCAGAGCAAGGGGAGGGTCTAACCTCTCCCCCTCGCTGGCCCGGATGTTGAGGTGCGACACGCAGGGGGCTAGTCCGCGGTGCATGAAACCGGGCTACATTCGGGGAACTCGAAGGACGGGCAATGGGCCGACGAAGGAGGACATCCTGAAGAGATGCCCGGATTGGGGTGGTAGAGCAAACAGACAGTCCCGGCCCAGACTGCAGCGCTACAATACCACCCCCAAGACGCCCTCAGGCAGTGTCACCCCCTACTCCCGCTGCAGGCTGAGGCACTGTACAGAGGGGCTGAGGGTGCAAGCCACCACATTTCCCGCAGACATGACGGCGGAGACACCCAACCGATTCGCCATTGCAACCCGAATTGTTGTACCGGAAGCAAATCTCCGCTGCAGCGCCTGCTGGCCGGGCACGAGCTGGCGCTGCTGCTGTCGGGGAGGAAGAGGCAGAAGGGGTTGCGATGGGAACGGGAATGGCAAGAAGGCTGGGGGCCAGCAGGTGGGAAGTGTGAAGGTGGGGGTCGCTCTCCGCCCAGAGGACAGGGTTGAAGAAGGGGTCTGCCATTCGTTTCTGCACGAAGGCGACATGGTAGTCGAGAACGGAAGCCCACGAGTAGGCCTTCGCGATGGTGATAACGTTGCAGAGGTAGATGTTGAGGCCTTGAGTCACCGGAAGCTCCAGGTGCTCATTCTGGAGAATGGCCGTGAATACCGCCCAGCATTCCGCAAAGACGAGAACGTCTGGCACCTCCCGGAGCAGAGCGGAGGCGCCAGTTGGCAGCGGCGGGGGTGAAACCTCGAGTAGACCATTGACCCCCAACACAAGGGAGAGGGCAGGGGGTGGAGGGGCCAGAGTAAGTGCGGAGAAGACGGCCAAGATGGGCCGGAGGGAACTTGAAGTCGCGGATTTGTGCAATGGCATCGGCGGAGACATGCGTATAGAGAGCACCAGAAAGAAGTGAAGGATACCCACCTTGTGACCCAGGAGGCATAGCCAACGGGTTTGCCGGTCGGCCCATGACCCGGTCTAGCGGCGAGACAGCTGGCTGATTGGCTGTAATCCTTGCAATAGCCGCCAACAAGTCCTGGTGGTTCTGGTTGATCTTGGCCTCCAAGTCGGTGGTAGATGGTGCCCCAGTCATGATAAAAATGACAGAAAAGGAAGGGAAGAGAGGCAGTGAGGAGGGAGGTAGGGAGACAGCAACGACGACGACGAGCGCGAAAAAGAGAGTGATGGTGATGTGACAGTGTGATGGTGCTCACTGCCCAATCCCGACGGTCTCGCCAGACCACCCATCTCGCCTGGGACTCATGGAGAAACGTCTTTCACCAGGCATAAGCTTCAAAACATGAATTCGTGGCGGGGTGGAGAATTTATTCACATACCTGATCAAAGGCACCCGCTGCTACTCGCCAACGCGCGACATCACCAACCGACTCCTTCTTCGACGGTCCTCCCTCCCTTGTAATGGCTTGAGAGAAGGAAGAGACACTGGCAAATGCTTGGCGCCAATCACGTTTGATTCGCGACGAGCCTTCGTATTAGTAAGTTTCTTCAGCCTCTAACGAGTCTAGCCATCCGTCAATGCAGCACAATGTTTACTTGAACTCTTGGAGCCCATGGATAATGAACCTCCGCGAATCGAGTGCTCGGGGTCAAGATCACGATGTTGGCCACCTTCCCTCAGTGAATCTGGAATCGCGACAGTGTTTTGTGGTGTCGCTTCTCAGGAACCCCACTGATCCAGTTGCATGCTGTTCTTTTGGTCGACTCTCGTTCATTGTTGACTTCTTTCCGGGCAGTATTCGCCAATTGCAAGCCCTTTCAGCGTACTCATTCGATGGAACAACCCCAATCGACCAGCATTCCATGGGCCCAGCTAAAGAAAAATCGCAGGTTGCAACTTGAACAAGTCTGCATCTGGTCGGGCTATATGCGGAGGCCAAGGTGAGCAGAGTCGCGCTTCAAGTTGCGACTTGAAGTGGGTTATGCACGGTTGATGTCAAGAAGGGACGACATAAGAACAACCATCTCTTCTTCTTATGCTTACTCTTTCGTTGTGCTGGGAAGGGCTGATTCCGAAGCAACACGCTCAAATCTCAAATATAGACAGTTCAACTCGCGACCGACGACGGAATCAACAAATCGAGCGTGTTCATATTGCGACCTTTGTCACCTTTTTAGTTCAGGTGCTGAGCGGCAACCTGTTTACTGCCATATCATCACTAAATATGCGTGCGGCTCCCTTGCTTTGCACTCGCTTTGTGGCTGCGTTTCTTTCCGTGGCGTGGTTGCTTCAAGTTGGTGAAGATGCAAAGGTTGTGGAAGGCTGATTATCCGGGCGACTGAATGTCAGTGTGGTCCATGCTCATTGGCCCGGTCGTTCATCCCAACTCCAGCCAGTCTCAGACCCCGGTAGAATGAGCGGAAGGCAGTCATTCTCTTCCCATATCCGCATGCATCGAAGTCCAGTGCGCTTCCATCTCTGATTTTGGAACCCGCGATTCACAAGAGGGACAGAATTAGAGACTTCGTTTTTGCCTTGATCCTTGGGGATACTGTTTGCTTCGTTCATTTGTTCTCAATGCAATTGGCTGACCACCATCCGTGGCCCCTTTTTATTCTTAGTCCGTCGGAGTGTGAGAAAGATTCGAAACGGCTATTCGGGAGCGTGTAAAGCGATCAGTGGGCGACGAGGAATGGATATGCAAATAGATTGGGACATCAATGGACACAGCGAGTGGCGATAGCGATGAGAGGACATGGTAATGATTGAATCGTTCGGCTCAGCATCACGGTTCGCCACTGGACCGCAAGGATTTACTCATTTCTAAAGGACCACACGAGTGAGTGAATGGAACAACGAGACAAAAATCAACTTACCATCTTTCAGTTCTCCATTCTCAGCCTCCATCTTCTCAGCATCTGCCGGGTTGCGTAGTTAGCAAGATGCGGGCATCGAGAGGAAGCCCATACATGACCTGAGGCGTTGAATTTCCTTACGTGCCTCATTCAATACTATATGCAATTTGTTCATCAGCTTACGGTCAGCGCGTAGTGAGAGGATATCTGACCGTCTTCGAGTTGCCTCAACTCCCGAACTATTGGCAGGTAAGAGACCGAGAAATCAAGGTGAGCAAAGATGACTTGCCCGCATCCTGAGTTTGTCGCTCTGCTTCTTCAACATGGCGTTGGGCGTCCCGCACCGCTACCGACCACTGGATTAGATTAAGATAAGAGTAAGAATCGAGCGGTACCTTCCCGCTGTTTCTCAAGCTCGTCGTTTGATCTCCTCTCTGTGGTTGCGAGCGCTAATCATCCAGATGACAAGGTATCAGAGCAACGGGAGAAACGCAAACCATCAAGTAGTTCTTGCTCTTTCTTCTGGTAGATGAATGACACTAGATTGGTCATTCTGAGGGTGATATCACGATGGCTGGATGCGAACGCACGACTGATGATGTCCTTTTCTTTCTTTTTGACTGCATGTAATGAGTACGACCAGTTGAGATGAGAAGTCGACGCACATTTCGAAAGTTCGCGATTCTTCTGGCGGAGCTCTGTTGTGCCTCCATCAGAAATAGAGATGATCGTTGGAGGGAGAATACGCACCTCGCTTGAAATGAGCCTCAGCATATTGTGCTCGCTGCATCTCTGTCCAAGCTGGTTGGAGATCAACGAAGAGTGAAAGAATGATGCATGGATGGTCCTGACCAAAATCTTCACGGACACCTTCAATGGTAGCATGTCCTAAGGCGTTCAGTCGCAGACCTGACAAAGTTAGATGAACATTACCGTTTGCTGGAGGCTGTGACGGCGAAGAAGTTGGTTCATGACGCCGAGAATTGATCAACGGCGTCTCACACCGCTGGTCGGGCTCGGAGATAGCGTGTTGGGGGCGGTGATCAGAGAAGCTAGTGGGAGGCGGCGAAGCCGGCCTCGGCTTTTCGTAGGGCATTGGTCGGAAAGACAAAGGCGGACTTTTTGCACGCGATGCAAGCCGTGGGGAAACTACCACAGCGAGGGGAGGTAGCTGGGTGGGTGGATTTGTGATCGTGTTCCGGCGTTTGGAAGGGTAATGATGAGGCGACGATGGGCGTGGCGCCCGGTGGGGTAGTGTGGATTGATAGTCAGCTGAAGATGAAAGGGAGCGAGGTCGGCTTGCAAACGGCGCGGTAGTATACGGTCCTTGATCATGGCTTGACTCGAGAATGGGAGGCAGCGTCCTTCGATCCTCCATGTCTATCATTTTGACCAGAATTTCCGATACGAGAGCTGCCACATCAGGGCTGCGCTGACTCGGCGCGGTTGCTGCGATGTTTTTCTGGACCATCATAACCCGACTGGCACAAATCTCGGCTCTTGACGTCCAAGAGATGCCAGTAGGATCGGCCCAAAGATAGAGGTCGGATGTCTGAGGGTTGTCTGCCCAAGGGTGGCATACAAGAAACTTGTAGAGAGGAACTTGGTCTAGGAGCACAGAAGTCCATCTTCTCCAAGGTCCAGGGTCGTTTTCGTTTCTGTCTCTCCAGTAAAGAGCATGTGCTGTATGTGTCAGGTCGACATAGACATCTCCAGGATGACCAATGCTCGAAGAGGGGGGACCGATGCCACGAAACTCGACAAAAGGAATTGTACACGATTTCTTGGAGTTGTCGAGAGAGTACGGATGTCCAGAGGAAAGAGCTTCAGGGCTTGCCGCAAATGTTCTGTGGAAAGAGAGCATTGGTTGGTCAAAGGCAGAGCCAAGGCTCAGTGTGGGGCCGTGCAGCGCGTCGTGCGAAGGAGAAGCGATGCTCTGATAATCGTAACATCACCGCTGGCTTGCACGAAAAGGAATCGGGATGGATTGCATTCTTCGAAAGGTGTGAAAGATTCCCACGGACCCTCGTTGGCTGCTCTAATAATATCTGAATAACATTCTCAAGTTGGACGGAGATTACAGATGGGAACCGGGTGGGACTGTTGGGTCAACGTCACGGTCGACTCAACGACCGTGAATCAGTCAAGAGTCAAGACCGCCGCTGATCGAACCATGGCACTGGCAGCCGGCTACACCAATTTGGTGGTATTGACAAGAGAGAGAAGAAGAAGAAGTTGCTGTTGGCGAAAGTCGAAGAAGCCTGACATCGTCATCCACTGGTTGTCACACGTGACACTTCTTCTTCCTCTTGCATTCACCACTCAGAAATCGTCATGATCCTCGGGCTGGAGGCTTGCTCATCGTCTTACTGCTGCTTGTTTGAGACCCCGATCAAAAATATACCAACCTACATCTGTAGAAGATTGATTCCTTGACCGGAGAACCTTCAATCGCAGTCGTCATGAAAAAGGCGCGGCAACAAAATTATGCCTCAAGGTGCTTTTAGCAAACTCGTGCTGCAGTTGGAAGGTGTCACTTTCCACTCTCCTTAATCTCACTGTTTTGTTTTTCCACCCTAGTCAAGCCAGACGACCAATGGGCATTCCTATCAGCCTCGCCCTTGCAGAGTAACTCGGCGCCGTTTCCTGGTGGCTCGATATGCCGTCAGAGCCATCTCATACATCTCATCCGCTTTTTCCAACTGCTTCTGCGAGCTATTAGCGCCGTGCAATATGGTACAGGATAACCAGCGATGCGCTTTCGCAAGTACGTTTAGTTTCGTAGTTGGCCGATTTCTCTATTCGTCGTATACCACTTGCGAGGTTGGTAGTCAAATCGTCGTAACAGCGTCGTTGAGAGGAGCGTTCGCTTCTTCAGTCAACTTCAAGTAGACGAGCAATACATTTCATTTCCTTTGCTCTGATCTTTTCAGTCAATGATGAGACCAAGATTCCCTTCATTATTTGGGCCATGACTATTCAGTACTCAGTTCTCGTCCGCTTGCTTTGGGACGTTATTTTCGTTGCTGCAGTGAATCGTCTTCGTTTTCGATCTTCCCATTGGTAAGATGCCTCACAGCCACCACTCGCATTCTGGCCAGTTCTGCAAACACGCAGTTGGGACACTCGAAGAAGTCGTAAATGAAGCTATCCGACAACATTTTACGGTCTATGGACTGACTGAGCACGTCCCACGCTACCGACAGCAGGATCTCTACCCAGAAGAGGTGAGCTAACCTGGCATTCGCCGATGTTTTTCTGATGTACAGGCCGGATTAACGCCCAACGACCTCTCCACCCAATTTAATGCCTTCCTGGACGAGGCCCACCGACTCAAGCCTCTCTTTGGCTCGCAAATTCGCCTGCTCGTTGGACTAGAAACGGAACACATCTCTCCCGTTGATCTGGACGCCATCGCCCATCTGCTCCAGCAACATTCTGGCCGCATAGACTACATCGTTGGCTCGGTCCACCATGTCCTCGAGACCCCCATCGATTTCGATGAAGCTACCTATCACGAAGCGGAGCTCAAGGCCGGCTCGGTCAGTGCCCTGCTGGTCGCTTATTTCGAAGCCCAGTACGAAATCCTGGACCGGTTCCGGCCCGAGGTTATTGGCCACTTCGATCTCTGTCGCCTCTACACCCCAAGCTTGCGGTTCAGCGACTTTCCTGAGGCATTCGAGCTGGCAAAGCGGAATATCTTGTTTGCCATCGAATATGGCGCCCTTTTCGAAGTAAACGCGGCAGCGCTGCGGAAAGGATGGGAGACGCCGTATCCAGGCCCAGATATTCTCGAGGTACCATTTTTTCCCGTCTCGATAAGTGCGGCTTCTCACTTCCTTCTAGTTCATTGTCGCACATGGCGGCCGACTTGCGCTTTCTGACGACAGCCATGGGCCACACGCAGTCGGTCTCAATTATGGACGGCTGCCGGACTATCTCCATCGTGCTGGAGTGCAAGACCTGTGGACCTTGGCGCCGAGCGACGCTCCAAACCCAGGAGGACGGATGGTCATCCCTGTAAAACTGGATGGCGACTGGAAAAAGCATGCTTTTTGGACTCAGTTGGGGCTTTGAGCAACAAAGTCTTTATCAAGAGTTTTTTCTGTCAACGAAGCCATCGGTCTCATGTATGCCCTACTAGCTGACTCTCTAAATCGTGAAGGAGCACGCGAATTGCGGGATACTGGCGCTAAGTAACGAAGGGGGGCGGGTGATAACTGGAAGTTTATGGTGGTATACTATGTACTGCATGGCTTTTGGATCAGGTAAATGGTAGTGGAGGCCGTGTTGAAGTACACAAGTGTGAATGTTGATCAACGTGATTGCATCAGTGATATTCTGACCGCCGAGAGTAGTGATCTCAAGCTCTTTGCTTTCAAAAGGAACCACGACGGGCTACGAACACGTCGTGAAGAGGCTTGGAAGAGGCTCTTTGTACTCTACAAGTGCTTCCAAGGGCATACTGGCGAAGTTCTATTTGCTGCAGTGCGTTATCATATCTCGTCGAGATGGGCCTCCTCTCACACTCAGACCAGCGATTATCATGTCGGCCAAGCGAGCGCGCAGATGTCGCACATGCGGCAAGCCAATGCTCGGGCACAGACAACAGAACTGTGTACCCCAAGGAGTGCCAGCTGAAGGCGCTGACGAAGAGCAACCAGAGACTGAAGCTGCTCAATCGCTTGCCACCCCGCCCGTATCACCCCCAGCCGGGAATTACTTTGACTTTTCAAGTAAAGGAGCTGGGCCGTCACGCAACAGCACCGAGCTGGCTGCGATGGGGTTGAAAGCTCACTGGCAAAACCCAGCCTGCGATTGGACGACACCAATAACCAAGCCGGTCCTCGCCCGACACAACTCAAACGACTCTTCCCCGAGTCTCGTACCCACCGTCTTGGCTGGCTCTGACGGCCACACAATTCATGGGCCGGGGAGCAATGTGGGGGCTCCAGCGGGGAGGGCAGCTGAACGTCAAAGTTACGGACGTGGTTACGCTCCTTCAGAGATTCAAAGCGACGCATATGCCGACGAAGACGACATCGCCTCTCTCCGGCTCCGACTACAGCGTACCAAAACTCCCATGGCTCAAATGCTCGACCACGCCCATGCTCTCCAATTATGCGACCCGGTCTTAAGCATCATGCGAGTGCGCGCAATGGACCTCCCCCGAATGCAGGCGACCGCTGGCCAGGCTGGTCTCTGTACTAGTATTGTCCGCTCACCGTGGCACTCCCCCAAGCTCTTCAAAGAGGAAGAGGTCGAATTATCAGTCAACTGGCAGCAACATGCTGACGTCTGGCTGGTCGTAGGGTCCGAACCAGGGCTTGTGCAACGAACCGCCGACATGCAGCAGCAATTTGAGCGGTTTCCGGGCATGCTCAGAGACGATATCGTTGTCGTGCAGGCAACCTACAAGCATATATTTATTGCGAGCACAGTTAGTGCACTGGTCATTCTTGGAGGACTTACTCTACTGCTTTAAGGTATTTAACCGTTTCGCTATCCCGCTGCTATCGTGTCTCCACCATGTAGGATTATGTAGTGCTATATGTCTTTGTTTATGGCGAATATTAAGTTTCCTTTTTCGGTCGCCGGCGTTGATTGCCTAATTTGGGAGTACTGTTATTTTTTAAGCCAAACCAAATGCATTCACGTCTCCAAGTCTTTATCTTTGTCTGTCATTCTCTTCCTCGTCCTCGTCCTCGTCCTCATCCTCGTCCTCATCACTACCATCATCAGACAGCTCCAGGTCCTCTAGATATAATGTCATTGCCAAACTCTCCTTTGCCCCTTCCAATAAATCATGCGCCATACTCAAATTATTTGCACGAGCTTTGAGCATTGGCAAGCACGATGAGAATAACTGCATGATTTGCGCACGTGCCGAGTACTCTTCATCGTTGTCACTGGGTCGCGTCAACGCGACAATGGATGCGCGAAGACGGGTGCATTCAGACTGAAGACTCTCTGCCGTGTAAGTTGAGCGCGACTTCAGACAAAGGAGGGATGATGAACGTGCCTATTCGATCGAGCATCGCATTGTATGGTCGCATCGGCGCCAATTCGTCCCCTGGCGCGACAGAGGGAGAAGTAGCAAGTGCCAAAGCCTCGACTTCTACGGTCGCGGAAGCTTCACCATGAGCGAGGAATGACTGCATAATGGACGGCGCGGAGTCTGCGACCTGCAATAAGTTGAAGTTAGAGATCAATATATGAATCGATGGGGGGAAAGCTGTTGTACATCGTCACCAGAACCGCCAAAACGAGTGCGCTTATTCGTCGACTCTTCTGGGGCGGTAGAGTCTCGCGCTACATCCTTCAAGTTCTGCAATAATTGAGTCTTGAAAAGACAAATGCATTGAAGCCAACCTCGGGTTGGCTCTCCGCGGTAGGCTCGAAGCACGCTTCCAAGGTCGAGTTCATCTGAAGCCATGGATATGCGGTATTCTTCACTTGTTGAATTTGAGTCGGGAGAGGCTGTGGTTCGATCCGTGGCTAAAAGCAGGTCAATAGACAGTAATAAGGGGGAGAAATTGAAGTCATGGAGTGCCTTGCTCAACAATCTGAATCCATTAGATGGAACAGGCTCCAATATTTCGTTGTCGTCAGACTCATTCGAGGTTGAACTCGAGCCAGCTTCACTTGAGTCCGAATCGCTTGATGCTGCTGATCTTGGAGAATCAGGGACGACAACGTTGCCACGATGGCACTCAAGTACCCTCTGTTATATGCCGATCCGAATGAGTCGCTTTAGCTTCACCGCTGCGCAGATCGAGCGACATTCTGGTCAATCGTAGGTGGGTCACGATGATGTCACGTAAATGATGCCGACCATTTTCGTCACGAACGGCTATGGCAGACGCGTCTTGCAGCCGAACCCCGACTTCCCGGCTGCTTTTATTGTGGATGCAAGACGTACCTTTCAGTCTTGCTTGGCCTCCACTTTCGTGACATGATCTCCTCAACTGTCTCTCGAAGTTCGATGCGGATTGTTGCTCTCCCTCTAACGCGAATCAACACGTCGGCGACGATAAAACTGCCCCGTCCAACCTTCTATCGATTCAATATAACGCCCCCACCGCCTAAGCCTTTGCTGCCGCGAACAGGGTGGTTGGCGGACTATCTACCGCAAGAGGGAATTGGTAAATGGGTGTCGAACAAAGCCAACCAGACGTGGATTAGCTGGGGCGCAGCGCCAGAAGGGAGCATTAAGGTGCGCGTCTCAGTTATCTGCTTCCCTCCACACAAACTTGCAACCAGCAACGTGCATTCCAAATTGGCGAACGACTTATGAGCCAGCTTGATTTCGAGGAGACAAATTTGAAGAGCCTCGATCTTTCCATCGCCCCGCCACTCCATGCTCAAGAGAAAGCCCATGATGTGCGCCTCTTTATTCAGAGCCAGCGCTCCCTTCTGACAATCGAGTAGATTCCGCTTTTCTATCCACCAACTATGCTATCCGGTCCACAATCACTAGAAAATCTGAAGACACTGGTGGAGCAACGAATACCGATACATAGTCGCGGCATATACCTGTGGATCTTTGTAGGTTTTCTTCCATGGGGGTCGACTTTTCTCAACTCCTCTCCAGTTTGGTGTCCTCTCCGCCCCGCTGAAGCTTATTCGTATGCATTCACTCAAGACATTCTGCGCACTAAAATCGTCTAGCTATAATACCTAATTTTCCGTTTTACTTCTGCGCCTGGCGAACATGGTCTCATGTCAAAGGTATTTCATCCCCAGTTTCTTATAACTCGTGACTCACTGCTCCTCAGCCCGTCGTGCTGCCCGATATATCAAGTCTCTCATAGACAGCAAACGTGTCGTTCGGAGGCACTGCATGATCTGACTGCTGTCTATGTCGGAGCAGCTACCGAGGCGATAACTGAACGAGAAACATTACAGCGGGCAGTACGGTCCCTGGGAATGTCGGCGGATGAAGAAAAGGCGCTGTTCCAGGCACAAGAGCAAGTTGTCAAACGACGAGCAAATGCAAAGAAGACTAAGATAATGTAACGTGGCTCGTATTAATGCAGTTTGACCCTCTGTCCCGTCCCAATATGTGGGACAACATTGAGGTTAGCCTAGCAGCATGTGTGGGCACTCGCCCTCTATCACCGGTACACTCGTTGACCTGTCAGCATTTCGATGTGTGATCATCGAGAAAACGCGCTCTTCTGACGGATTTCAGCCCCATGGTAGTAAAGGTAGATCGGGCTATGTTTGTCAGTCTCAAAAAGCAACCGGGATAATGACCAACAATGGGATTCCCAAGACAATACCCAGACCACCGAGTAACGAGTTGCCGCCGCCCGTCCCGAGGGCGTTGAACATTTGCTGGCCGAATAGTGGAAAGGCGAAGCCTAAAAGGGAGCGGAAAACAGATGCAGCGGAGAGAGCACTTGCGGCGTAGGTGAACGTGTCGACGAGGTAGAGTTGTATTAGGTGCCGCACAATGTTGTCATCATGCCTTTTTCACATGTCATACCATACCCCCCCTTGCACGCCTCGCTCCAACGCTAAGTCGCGCTCGCTCGCCAAGTCGCGCGAGCGAGAGCACCCTCTAATATACATTTTTTTTCAGCGCACGGACCCATAAACAATGTCATGTGAGTACATTTGTCGTCGAGTCCGGGAGATTTTTGGGGTTTTAGAGGTGTGTTTGCGTGGATTTCACAGAGTTACGGGGTTCTTAGGCAGAACGAGCAGGAGTAGCAAGTAAATCACGTGTATTAGCTATTTCTACGCGTCCAGACACGCTAATTACACCAAGACACGCGTCGCGACGCGTCAAATCCAGCCCAAAGCACAAGTCCATTAACTCCTTGGCCCCTGCATCCCAGCGACAGAGCGCTATCACCGGTCCGTTGCACTACACCCGTTCATTGGCCTCCGGCGGTTGGAACCCTCGAAATTTTGGCCTTGCTCCGCGCGTAAAGGGCGTCATTTTGTCGTCCGGGGTACGCGTTGGTGAAGGCGTAGTGAGCCCGTTGTATGCACCATGGCCGTTGGGGGGACAACGACTAGAGGGAAAGCACGTCAGTTAAGGTTTGAAGATAGTTTCATGCATACCAAATGAAAATGGCGGCCCGAAGCATCTTCGCACGGCGGCAGGGCGCCTGATCCGAGTCCTGCGTGTTGGTAATCGATACGGCAGAGACGGGCCGCCAGTTGAAATGTCTTGTGGGATTCAGTCTGGCAAGTAGAATGCGGAGAGGCAGAAGTTGATGGGGTATGGCGACGTCCAAGCGAGCGCAGTAGTCGATGGCGGGGATGACAGACGACGGAGACATGGCTAGGTGGAGCGTCTTGCCCGATTTGGCCGCGAAAAGACAAAGCGGAGCGGTGGAGGTTGGCGGGTGAGAGTCGGTGATGGCGAGGAGGACAACGCCTCATTGTCGGAGCTGCAACGACCAGCTTGGGGGAAGGCAGCACCCTGCTGCCAAAGTCGGCAAAGTCGCACGGGTTGATGGTCATGGCGGTAACTGGAAGGGGATCACGATGGGGGTGAAGGACGTGGGGCAAGGACGTGGGGCAAGGCAGGATTGAGCACGTGGTACGCGCTTGGGGAAGAGACGTTGATCCCAGTCCTGTTTGGTGGCCAACTCGGGTCCAAACACGCGCCAAAAGACATACCCAACGCTAAAGGCTAGGAAGGCGAGCGCCCGGCCAGGCCGGCCCAAGTAACCTTTACTCGGGCGCGACGCGATCGAGACGGAGTTGCCGCGAGTTGCAGTGCAAGCACGGGGTCGGGACGGCCAGCTCCGATTCGGTAGGCAATGAGTCGGAGGTCGGGTATGGCGATGCCTCCAAGCCGACACCCATGGCGAGGACGGCTAGGTCATGATGGGATGCCCTGCCCGATTTGGCCGCGAAGGTAGAAGGCGGAGCGGCGAAGGCTAACCAATGGGAGTCGGTGATCGCCACGAGCGCAAGGTCGGAGCTGCAACAACCAGCTTGGGGGAAAGGCAGCACCCTGCTGCCAACGTCCACTTTGAAGGCCTTCCCGTTTGTTGGCCTCCCGGCAAAAACCTGTGAAAATTTGGGTCAATAGAGCACAAAAAGAAGGGCAAAATGACACACCAAAAAATCACGGAATTGATCGGATCAAAGCCGATTTGATGCGCAATCAGAGCGGGAAACGCGTCTTGCCTTGGCAGGCGGACGGGCGGGCGTGTCCGTCAGGCGGTGGTAGGGAGCCGCGCAAGGCGTGAGCGACAGCGCACTGCCAAGGGTCGGGAGCAGTCCTCGTAACTAGCGGCACAGCGGCAAGGGCAGGCAAGGAGGCGCAGTGACAAAGCACATGCTGATTCCCGCCGATTCCAGTTGGACAGAAGGCCAGCAAGGCAGCGCACTGCTGCCGACGTCCACTTTGAGCCCTCCGTGTACGTGGGCCTCCGGCGGTAAAAACCTGCAAAAATTGGCATTAATAGACCGCAAAACCAAGGGCAAAATGACGCACCAAAAATATTGGAATTGATCGGATCAATGCCGATGTTGACGCTGGAAACAGCGGCGCGGGCAGGCGGCGGCTAGTTAACATTTGGTCATAAATACGGCACCAACGCGATCGTCGAAGTTGATATTCAGCAGGGGTGTGATACGGCCGCGGGCGGCTGGGCATTGCACTCGGTGAGGGAGCAGGGCAGGGTATTGCTGCAGACGGCCAGGCGGAAGTCGAGCATCCCCGCAGGAATCTGGAGAAAACAGTTAATGAAGTGAGAAAAGCGGGGCAAAAGGGCCCACCCAAAATATTGGAACGGATGTTGCGGGAGTCGAGTAAAGGAGTCGACGCACGCGAATCAGGGCGGGAATGCGATGTTGTTGCGCGAGAACAGCCGTCGCCGCTGCCGCATGGGTAACAACAGCTCGAAGGCCATAAGCCCAGTCCTTCGTCTAACTTCAATGAAGCGGAGGCGGCTCAGGACTGAGAGCCATGTTCGACAGAAACTACTAGTACAGAAGAGTTAGCAGAGTCAAAAAAGAAAAGACAGAATCACGCACCAAAAGCATCAGGTTTGACTCCGAGTTGGAGGAGCGACAGCTTGAAGGCCGGCCGGGAGCGCGAATCAGTCATTCGAGTTGGTCCCTAAAGCGCAACGGCACAGGCAACACAGTGCCTTGGCCAGCGTGACGGTTGTTGGTCGCCACGAGCATGCTCGTATTTAGGTAAGCATTGCGCTGAAAACGGAGTTAGCTGTCATTACTTGAGAGAACTCAACGACTCACTTGAGCCATGAGCGTTAATTGCCGCAGAGACGGTATGTGCCGCCAGTGGCGCTCAAGGCCGCGTTGAAGGCGGCCATCGGGGTTGACGACGCCGTGCCGCCAAAGAGGACTTGGAATCAAAGACGTTGGCCTTGTTTGCGCAGGTTGGTCGACGAGGGTTGTATTTGCGCAAGCATTGCGCTGGGAACGACATTAGTTAAGAGCACGACTGGAAAGTCGATAGAGCGCACGTACTATGAGGCAAACAACGTTGAAGGCTTTGGGGAGTCGAGGAAAGAGGGATTGGCCACTGTGCTACGCTGGTCAGCGACGACGCGAATGGCATAGACGGTGGACGTACGAGGGGCAGAGACAGAGCGCAATTCTGGGCATGGTGGTGGTCTTAAGTCGACCATAAACAAGTGTGCGTGACTTCGTTTACGCGAAAAATTCTGGCATGTCATAACACAATCCATCAAGTCAGGGTTGCCCCTCACGACGCGACTTACCTCCGGTATTCGGTTAAGCATGATCTAGCCCGTCGTCGTCGGGCGGCAGCGCTGCAGGCGGCGCTTCGAAACGCGTCAAAGCAGGGGAAACAGAGCAAAACGGTAGCAAGCACGGTATTTGAAGGTGCATATTGGTAGGTGGTTCTGCCCAGCACTGAAGCCTATATCCACCGCAGACAGATCGTGGGCGCCGCGAGAGAGATGTCGGGGGTGATCGTTGACGACAGGAATGTCACCGTGACGACACGTGTGCGTGACAATCATGCCGACCACGGCTCGGGGATGAGTTTCACTGGAGATGAGGGAGGCTGCAGGCGATGGGCTGCAGGCGATGGGCCGGCTTCCGCGGATAACGGGTCGTTCAGGCTTGACTCTCAAGCCCGAGGCGCCCAGACCGTGACGTGAATAAAATAAAATGTATCCGAATGCCAGTGGTTTACTTTTGCCTAGCGGCGCCGTCGGGAATCGGCAATGAGCGGCAGTGAGGATAGACGGGTATCCAAGTGGCTAAGGACAAGGCCGTAAGTAATTAATGGTGATGGAATGGAAGCGACGGCTGCCGAGGGTGACGTGATGTAACCCTGCCCGGATAGACCCTTTGCATTATCCTTGCTCAGTTGGCTCAGCTGCTTGCCCTTATTGCTGCAGTCGCCTTCGACTGCTTTTGCTGAAATGCCGTCCCATATATTTTTTTTCCCCAATTTTTTATTGAATTTCACTGATAACTTTCAAGCGTGACCAAAAGTGACGATAGCCATTTTTCTGGCGCTGTTGGCCCTTTTGCGCTCAGATCTGGCTTGAAGTCGTGACTCAGCAACGTCCTCCCGATAAGGCAAGCCCCAGGAGATGCCCAGTTTGCCCGTGCGCCGGTAATAATCGGCTGCGATCAAGCGTGGGAACAAATGTTGGCATTTGCTTCACCTTATCCGCCTGCTCATCGCGTGATTTGGGTCCCCGGAATGCACTCGATTCAAGACGGGAACGTTTTTCGTGATTCACACACTACTTTGCATCGCATGCTTCGATAGCTACCAAATTTGACAGGCGGTATGCAACTACGGGCCGCCCTTCCCCTGTGCTGGGATCAGGCACACAGAGCAAAAGCCACTGCACAGTTCAGCGGAAACGCGCAATTCACGTTTCTAAGCGGTTTAACCCTGAGATGCGCCACCACCCGCTTAGCAACCGCCTCAACGCTGAGTGACAGATCGAAGCCGGACGTGGGAAGCGTTCCAGACTTTATCGTCATTGCCCAAGGACTCGCTTTCCACCCATCTTACTTTTTGCACTTTGGTGCATTCTACACCAAGTATGACCATGGGTAGCAATATAGGTGGTGGATCACTGTGGACTATACTCTAGTTCAACATCCCAGGCGCTACGTCGTCCATCTCGCTTCGCCTCGCTTGACAAACTCAACACTTCCGGAAATACCCTCAACTACCATGCCGACACGATTCGCTCCGCGTTCCCATCGGTTATTGCAAGTGTATAAAAGCTCGCCTGGCTCGATGCCAATCATTTCCCTCTTCTTCCCTCCGCCCATCTTCGAGCCAAAGTTGACTACTCACGTGTTGTTGACTTTGCGCTTGTCTTTTGTCGATCCTAGTAATCGACATCTATTCTCTTTGCTTACTCGACAGGATCGTGCTACCTGTACCCTCCTTCGCTACTGCCCCCTCGCATCTGTCATTTACAGCAACACTTACCTTGCACTTGTGGTGAGTTATCCATTGTTGTTCTCCTTGGCTAACATGTGTGGTCGTCTTCAAGCTTAGTTCTGAGTTCTCGCAAACCTGTTGTCTGACCACGTTACCAGATGTGTCGAGCAAGCAACAAGGCGCAATCGTTGAGCCCATGTAGTCTTGATGCTGGCCAACAGTTTTGTGTTGGTGGGAAGTCGAATGGGTCGGTGAGTGCTTCGGGACTTGTGCTTGCGATCCTTGCGCTGACCGCTTTCCTCAGCGACTTGCGGTTGGTGCGGAGCAAGACGAGGGCGAGCACCTTGCAGTTGTTTGAGTCTGTGATGATATAGTGAGTCCTTCCTATCATCGCCACTTGTATCACTGTTTAAATTCTATCAGTTTGTCGTTATTCAAGTCGTTTAGTTGCCCACCTTGAATCTACAGCTTCAGGACCACGTTCACTGTTCACGCTTTGTTGATTTGGCCTTGCGAGCGGGGAGCTGAAGTCATGGCAATCCCTTGCGCAGATTTGGAGCTCGCGTTTGCAGGTACGTGGTCTTGAACCCCGTTCCTCGATTCTGACAAGGCGCAGTATCAAGTCCCACTCGCGACACCGCCAATTGCCTTGCTTTTCTGGTTTGCGGGAGAGGCCGCTGTTTAACTGACATTGTTATCCAGTGATTTTGACACGCGTTGCAAAGTGGCTTTGGCGACTTGAGTTGTTTCGGCAAACAGGGAGCTGCCGCGGACTTGTGGTGAGTTATCCATTGTTGTCCTCCGTCTTGGCTGACATATCATGTAGGCGTTGTCGTCTTCAAGCTGATCGAACAGGTGAGTACTTTGAAGTTGTCAACATTCTCGCAAACCTGTTGTCGGACCGTGTCAGATGTGTCGAATGAGCGAGCGCGCGATAGTTGTGCCTGTTCAGTCCTCGTCGTCTTGATGCTAACATTTGCGAAGCAGTTTTGCGTTGGAAGTCGAATGGGTCGGTTCTCCGTCATTGGTGAGTGTTTCGGGACTTGTGCTTGCGACCTTGCGCTGACCGCTTTCTTCAGCGACTTGCTCGTCCCGCTCAAGTCGGCAGTTGACAGTGAGTCCTTCGCGTTGTTGCGCTGTTCAAGTTCTATGAGTTTGTTGTTATTCACGCCGTTTAGTTGCCCACCTTGAATCCACAGTTTCAAAACCACGATTCGACATTGGCGTTCAGCGGCGCTCTCTGGTTTGCTGTCCGCATTTGCGAGGCGGGGAGAGTTGTGCCCAGTACGACTGCCTGCTGCTTGGGCGTTTTTCTTGCAAAGGCTGACCTAGTTATGCAGCAGTTGCGATTTTGACGACCGGTGAGACGGGTTGTTTCGGCATCTAGCGGCAGACAGAGGTTGGACTTTGTGCAGCGAGCGAGTCGAATTTGGCGCCGACGGGCGGGAGGTGGGATTTGTTGTTGGCAGGGCAGTCTTCATAGACGTTAGTTAGTGAGCATTCGTTCGAGGCTGTTGTACTTACCGCTGCCAGATGTGCCCAAAGAAAGTCCGGGCTGAGGTTTGCGGAGGGGATAACCCAAAAAGGGTAAATGAAAGAAGCGCGCATGCGGCGTGGCGGCGGCGGCGTGCGGAGACACTGCTGCGTCAACGCGGCAATGGATGCGCGAAGACGGACTGAAAACTCTCTGCCGTGTGATTTCGGGAGATGAATCAGGGACGACAACGTTGCCACGATGGCACTCAAGTACCCTCTGTTATATGCCGATCCGAATGAGTCGCTTTAGCTTCACCGCTGCGCAGATCGAGCGACATTCTGGTCAATCGTAGGTGGGTCACGATGATGTCACGTAAATGATGCCGACCATTTTCGTCACGAACGGCTATGGCAGACGCGTCTTGCAGCCGAACCCCGACTTCCCGGCTGCTTTTATTGTGGATGCAAGACGTACCTTTCGGTCTTGCTTGGCCTCCACTTTCGTGACATGATCTCCTCAACTGTCTCTCGGTTCGATGCGGATTGTTGCTCTCCCTCTAACGCGAATCAACACGTCGGCGACGATAAAACTGCCCCGTCCAACCTTCTATCGATTCAATATAACGCCCCCCACCGCCTAAGCCTTTGCTGCCGCGAACAGGGTGGTTGGCGGACTATCTACCGCAAGAGGGAATTGGTAAATGGGTGTCGAACAAAGCCAACCAGACGTGGATTAGCTGGGGCGCAGCGCCAGAAGGGAGCATTAAGGTGCGCGTCTCAGTTATCTGCTTCCCTCCACACAAACTTGCAACCAGCAACGTGCATTCCAAATTGGCGAACGACTTATGAGCCAGCTTGATTTCGAGGAGACAAATTTGAAGAGCCTCGATCTTTCCATCGCCCCGCCACTCCATGCTCAAGAGAAAGCCCATGATGTGCGCCTCTTTATTCAGAGCCAGCGCTCCCTTCTGACAATCGAGTAGATTCCGCTTTTCTATCCACCAACTATGCTATCCGGTCCACAATCACTAGAAAATCTGAAGACACTGGTGGAGCAACGAATACCGATACATAGTCGCGGCATATACCTGTGGATCTTTGTAGGTTTTCTTCCATGGGGGTCGACTTTTCTCAACTCCTCTCCAGTTTGGTGTCCTCTCCCCCCCGCTGAAGCTTATTCGTATGCATTCACTCAAGACATTCTGCGCACTAAAATCGTCTAGCTATAATACCTAATTTTCCGTTTTACTTCTGCGCCTGGCGAACATGGTCTCATGTCAAAGGTATTTCATCCCCAGTTTCTTATAACTCGTGACTCACTGCTCCTCAGCCCGTCGTGCTGCCCGATATATCAAGTCTCTCATAGACAGCAAACGTGTCGTTCCGGAGGCACTGCATGATCTGACTGCTGTCTATGTCGGAGCAGCTACCGAGGCGATAACTGAACGAGAAACATTACAGCGGGCAGTACGGTCCCTGGGAATGTCGGCGGATGAAGAAAAGGCGCTGTTCCAGGCACAAGAGCAAGTTGTCAAACGACGAGCAAATGCAAAGAAGACTAAGATAATGTAACGTGGCTCGTATTAATGCAGTTTGACCCTCTGTCCCGTCCCAATATGTGGGACAACATTGAGGTTAGCCTAGCAGCATGTGTGGGCACTCGCCCTCTATCACCGGTACACTCGTTGACCTGTCAGCATTTCGATGTGTGATCATCGAGGAAAACGCGCTCTTCTGACGGATTTCAGCCCCATGGTAGTAAAGGTAGATCGGGCTATGTTTGTCAGTCTCAACAAGCAACCAGGATAATGACAAACAATGGGATTCCCAAGACAATACCCAGACCACCGAGTAACGAGTTGCCGCCGCCCGTCCCGAGGGCGTTGAACATTTGCTGGCCGAATAGTGGAAAGGCGAAGCCTAAAAGGGAGCGGAAAACAGATGCAGCGGAGAGAGCACTTGCGGCGTAGGTGAACGTGTCGACGAGGTAGAGTTGTATTAGGTGCCGCACAATGTTGTCATCATGCCTTTTTCACATGTCATACCATACCCCCCCTTGCACGCCTCGCTCCAACGCTAAGTCGCGCTCGCTCGCCAAGTCGCGCGAGCGAGAGCACCCTCTAATATACATTTTTTTTTCAGCGCACGGACCCATAAACAATGTCATGTGAGTACATTTGTGCGTCGAGTACCGGGAGATTTTTGGGGTTTTAGAGGTGTGTTTGCGTGGATTTCACAGAGTTACGGGGTTCTTAGGCAGAACGAGCAGGAGTAGCAAGTAAATCACGTGTATTAGCTATTTCTACGCGTCCAGAACACGCTAATTACACCAAGACACGTCGCGACGCGCGCCAAATCCAGCCCAAAGCACAAGTCCATTAACTCCTTGGCCCCTGCATCCCAGCGACAGAGCGCTATCACCGGTCCGTTGCACTACACCCGTTCATTGGCCTCCGGCGGTTGGAACCCTCGAAATTTTGGCCTTGCTCCGCGCGTAAAGGGCGTCATTTTGTCGTCCGGGGTACGCGTTGGTGAAGGCGTAATTGAGCCCGTTGTATGCACCATGGCCGTTGGGGGGACAACGACTAGAGGGAAAGCACGTCAGTTAAGGTTTGAAGATAGTTTCATGCATACCAAATGAAAATGGCGGCCCGAAGCATCTTCGCACGGCGGCAGGGCGCCTGATCCGAGTCCTGCGTGTTGGTAATCGATACGGCAGAGACGGGCCGCCAGTTGAAATGTCTTGTGGGATTCAGTCTGGCAAGTAGAATGCGGAGAGGCAGAAGTTGATGGGGTATGGCGACGTCCAAGCGGCGCAGTAGTCGATGGCGGGGATGACAGACGACGGAGACATGGCTAGGTGGAGCGTCTTGCCCGATTTGGCCGCGAAAAGACAAAGCGGAGCGGTGGAGGTTGGCGGGTGAGAGTCGGTGATGGCGAGGAGGACAACGCCTCATTGTCGGAGCTGCAACGACCAGCTTGGGGGAAGGCAGCACCCTGCTGCCAAAGTCGGCAAAGTCGCACGGGTTGATGGTCATGGCGGTAACTGGAAGGGGATCACGATGGGGGTGAAGGACGTGGGGCAAGGACGTGGGGCAAGGCAGGATTGAGCACGTGGTACGCGCTTGGGGGAAGAGACGTTGATCCCAGTCCTGTTTGGTGGCCAACTCGGGTCCAAACACGCGCCAAAAGACATACCCAACGCTAAAGGCTAGGAAGGCGAGCGCGCCCGGCCAGGCCGGCCCAAGTAACCTTTACTCGGCGCGACGATCGAGACGGAGTTTGCGCGAGTTGCAGTGCAAGCACCGGGTCGGGACGGCCAGCTCCGGTCGGTAGGCAATGAGTCGGAGGTCGGGTATGGCGATGCCTCCAAGCCGACACCCATGGCGAGGACGGCTAGGTCATGATGGGATGCCCTGCCCGATTTGGCCGCGAAGGTAGAAGGCGGAGCGGCGAAGGCTAACCAATGGGAGTCGGTGATCGCCACGAGCGCAAGGTCGGAGCTGCAACAACCAGCTGGGGGAAAGGCAGCACCCTGCTGCCAACGTCCACTTTGAAGGCCTTCCCGTTTGTTGGCCTCCGCGGCAAAAACCTGTGAAAATTTGGGTCAATAGAGCACAAAAAGAAGGGCAAAATGACACACCAAAAAATCACGGAATTGATCGGATCAAAGCCGATTTGATGCGCAATCAGAGCGGGAAACGCGTCTTGCCTTGGCAGGCGGACGGGCGGGCGTGTCCGTCAGGCGGTGGTAAGGAGCCCGCGCAAGGCGTGAGCGACAGCGCACTGCCAAGGGTCGGGAGCAGTCCTCGTAACTAGCGGCACAGCGGCAAGGGCAGGCAAGGAGGCGCAGTGACAAAGCACATGCTGATTCCCGCCGATTCCAGTTGGACAGAAGGCCAGCAAGGCAGCGCACTGCTGCCGACGTCCACTTTGAAGCCCTCCGTGTACGTGGGCCTCCGGCGGTAAAAACCTGCAAAAATTGGCATTAATAGACCGCAAAACCAAGGGCAAAATGACGCACCAAAAATATTGGAATTGATCGGATCAATGCCGATGTTGACGCTGGAGAACGGATGGCGCGGGCAGGCGGCTAGTTAACATTTGGTCATAAATACGGCACCAACGCGATCGTCGAAGTTGATATTCAGCAGGGTGTGTGATACGGCGCGGGCGGCTGGGCATTGCACTCGGTGAGGGAGCAGGGCAGGGTATTGCTGCAGACGGCCAGGCGGAAGTCGAGCATCCCCGCAGGAATCTGGAGAAAACAGTTAATGAAGTGAGAAAAGCGGGGCAAAAGGGCCCACCCAAAATATTGGAACGGATGTTGCGGGAGTCGAGTAAAGGAGTCGACGCACGCGAATCAGGGCGGGAATGCGATGTTGAGCGCGAGAACAGCCGTCGCCGCTGCCGCATGGGTAACAACAGCTCGAAGGCCATAAGCCCAGTCCTTCGTCTAACTTCAATGAAGCGGAGGCGGCTCAGGACTGAGAGCCATGTTCGACAGAAACTACTAGTACAGAAGAGTTAGCAGAGTCAAAAAGAAAAAAGACAGAATCACGCACCAAAAGCATCAGGTTTGACTCCGAGTTGGAGGAGCGACAGCTTGAAGGCCGGCCGGGAGCGCGAATCAGTCATTCGAGTTGGTCCCTAAAGCGCAACGGCACAGGCAACACAGTGCCTTGGCCAGCGTGACGGTTGTTGGTCGCCACGAGCATGCTCGTATTTAGGTAAGCATTGCGCTGAAAACGGAGTTAGCTGTCATTACTTGAGAGAACTCAACGACTCACTTGAGCCATGAGCGTTAATTGCCGCAGAGACGGTATGTGCCGCCAGTGGCGCTCAAGGCCGCGTTGAAGGCGGCCATCGGGGTTGACGACGCCGTGCCGCCAAAGAGGACTTGGAATCAAAGACGTTGGCCTTGTTTGCGCAGGTTGGTCGACGAGGGTTGTATTTGCGCAAGCATTGCGCTGGGAACGACATTAGTTAAGAGCACGACTCGGAAAGTCGATAGAGCGCACGTACTATGAGGCAAACAACGTTGAAGGCTTTGGGGAGTCGAGGAAAGAGGGATTGGCCACTGTGCTACGCTGGTCAGCGACGACGCGAATGGCATAGACGGTGGACGTTACGAGGGGCAGAGACAGAGCGCAATTCTGGGCATGGTGGTGGTCTTAAGTCGACCATAAACAAGTGTGCGTGACTTCGTTTACGCGAAAAATTCTGGCATGTCATAACACAATCCATCAAGTCAGGGTTGCCCCTCACGACGCGACTTACCTCCGGTATTCGGTTAAGCATGATCTAGCCCGTCGTCGTCGGCGGCAGCTGCAGGCGGCGCTTCGAAACGCGTCAAAGCAGGGGAAACAGAGCAAAACGGTAGCAAGCACGGTATTTGAAGGTGCATATTGGTAGGTGGTTCTGCCCAGCACTGAAGCCTATATCCACCGCAGACAGATCGTGGGCGCCGCGAGAGAGATGTCGGGGGTGATCGTTGACGACAGGAATGTCACCGTGACGACACACGTGTGCGTGACAATCATGCCGACCACGGCTCGGGGATGAGTTTCACTGGAGATGAGGGAGGCTGCAGGCGATGGGCTGCAGGCGATGGGCCGGCTTCCGCGGATAACGGGTCGTTCAGGCTTGACTCTCAAGCCCGAGGCGCCCAGACCGTGACGTGAATAAAATAAAATGTATCCGAATGCCAGTGGTTTACTTTGCCTAGCGGCGCCGTCGGGGAATCGGCAATGAGCGGCAGTGAGGATAGACGGGTATCCAAGTGGCTAAGGACAAGGCCGTAAGTAATTAATGGTGATGGAATGGAAGCGACGGCTGCCGAGGGTGACGTGATGTAACCCTGCCCGGATAGACCCTTTGCATTATCCTTGCTCAGTTGGCTCAGCTGCTTGCCCTTATTGCTGCAGTCGCCTTCGACTGCTTTTGCTGAAATGCCGTCCCATATATTTTTTTTCCCCAATTTTTTATTGAATTTCACTGATAACTTTCAAGCGTGACCAAAAGTGACGATAGCCATTTTTCTGGCGCTGTTGGCCCTTTTGCGCTCAGATCTGGCTTGAAGTCGTGACTCAGCAACGTCCTCCCGATAAGGCAAGCCCCAGGAGATGCCCAGTTTGCCCGTGCGCCGGTAATAATCGGCTGCGATCAAGCGTGGGAACAAATGTTGGCATTTGCTTCACCTTATCCGCCTGCTCATCGCGTGATTTGGGTCCCCGGAATGCACTCGATTCAAGACGGGAACGTTTTTCGTGATTCACACACTACTTTGCATCGCATGCTTCGATAGCTACCAAATTTGACAGGCGGTATGCAACTACGGGCCGCCCTTCCCCTGTGCTGGGATCAGGCACACAGAGCAAAAGCCACTGCACAGTTCAGCGGAAACGCGCAATTCACGTTTCTAAGCGGTTTAACCCTGAGATGCGCCACCACCCGCTTAGCAACCGCCTCAACGCTGAGTGACAGATCGAAGCCGGACGTGGGAAGCGTTCCAGACTTTATCGTCATTGCCCAAGGACTCGCTTTCCACCCATCTTACTTTTTGCACTTTGGTGCATTCTACACCAAGTATGACCATGGGTAGCAATATAGGTGGTGGATCACTGTGGACTATACTCTAGTTCAACATCCCAGGCGCTACGTCGTCCATCTCGCTTCGCCTCGCTTGACAAACTCAACACTTCCGGAAATACCCTCAACTACCATGCCGACACGATTTCGCTCCGCGTTCCCATCGGTTATTGCAAGTGTATAAAAAGCTCGCCTGGCTCGATGCCAATCATTTCCCTCTTCTTCCCTCCGCCCATCTTCGAGCCAAAGTTGACTACTCACGTGTTGTTGACTTTGCGCTTGTCTTTTGTCGATCCTAGTAATCGACATCTATTCTCTTTGCTTACTCGACAGGATCGTGCTACCTGTACCCTCCTTCGCTACTGCCCCCTCGCATCTGTCATTTACAGCAACACTTACCTTGCACTTGTGGTGAGTTATCCATTGTTGTTCTCCTTGGCTAACATGTGTGGTCGTCTTCAAGCTTAGTTCTGAGTTCTCGCAAACCTGTTGTCTGACCACGTTACCAGATGTGTCGAGCAAGCAACAAGGCGCAATCGTTGAGCCCATGTAGTCTTGATGCTGGCCAACAGTTTTGTGTTGGTGGGAAGTCGAATGGGTCGGTGAGTGCTTCGGGACTTGTGCTTGCGATCCTTGCGCTGACCGCTTTCCTCAGCGACTTGCGGTTGGTGCGGAGCAAGACGAGGGCGAGCACCTTGCAGTTGTTTGAGTCTGTGATGATATAGTGAGTCCTTCCTATCATCGCCACTTGTATCACTGTTTAAATTCTATCAGTTTGTCGTTATTCAAGTCGTTTAGTTGCCCACCTTGAATCTACAGCTTCAGGACCACGTTCACTGTTCACGCTTTGTTGATTTGGCTTGCGAGCGGGGAGCTGAAGTCATGGCAATCCCTTGCGCAGATTTGGAGCTCGCGTTTGCAGGTACGTGGTCTTGAACCCCGTTCCTCGATTCTGACAAGGCGCAGTATCAAGTCCCACTCGCGACACCGCCAATTGCCTTGCTTTTCTGGTTTGCGGGAGAGGCCGCTGTTTAACTGACATTGTTATCCAGTGATTTTGACACGCGTTGCAAAGTGGCTTTGGCGACTTGAGTTGTTTCGGCAAACAGGGAGCTGCCGCGGACTTGTGGTGAGTTATCCATTGTTGTCCTCCGTCTTGGCTGACATATCATGTAGGCGTTGTCGTCTTCAAGCTGATCGAACAGGTGAGTACTTTGAAGTTGTCAACATTCTCGCAAACCTGTTGTCGGACCGTGTCAGATGTGTCGAATGAGCGAGCGCGATAGTTGTGCCTGTTCAGTCCTCGTCGTCTTGATGCTAACATTTGCGAAGCAGTTTTGCGTTGGAAGTCGAATGGGTCGGTTCTCCGTCATTGGTGAGTGTTTCGGGACTTGTGCTTGCGACCTTGCGCTGACCGCTTTCTTCAGCGACTTGCTCGTCCCGCTCAAGTCGGCAGTTGACAGTGAGTCCTTCGCGTTGTTGCGCTGTTCAAGTTCTATGAGTTTGTTGTTATTCACGTCGTTTAGTTGCCCACCTTGAATCCACAGTTTCAAAACCACGATTCGACATTGGCGTTCAGCGGCGCTCTCTGGTTTGCTGTCCGCATTTTGGGGGGGGAGAGTTGTGCCCAGTACGACTGCCTGCTGCTTGGGCGTTTTTCTTGCAAAGCTGACCTAGTTATGCAGCGGTTGCGATTTTGACGACCGGTGAGACGGGTTGTTCCGGCATCTAGCGGCAGACAGAGGTTGGACTTTGTGCAGCGAGCGAGTCGAATTTGGCGCCCGACGGGCGGGAGGTGGGATTTGTTGTTGGCAGGGCAGTCTTCATAGACGTTAGTTAGTGAGCATTCGTTCGAGGCTGTTGTACTTACCCGCTGCCAGATGTGCCCAAAGAAAGTCCGGGCTGAGGTTTGCGGAGGGGATAACCCAAAAAGGGTAAATGAAAGAAGCGCGCGCATGCGGCGCGGCGGCGGCGGCGGCGTGCGGAGACACTGCTGCGTCAACGCGGCAATGGATGCGCGAAGACGGACTGAAAACTCTCTGCCGTGTGATTTCGGGAGATGAATCAGGGACGACAACGTTGCCACGATGGCACTCAAGTACCCTCTGTTATATGCCGATCCGAATGAGTCGCTTTAGCTTCACCGCTGCGCAGATCGAGCGACATTCTGGTCAATCGTAGGTGGGTCACGATGATGTCACGTAAATGATGCCGACCATTTTCGTCACGAACGGCTATGGCAGACGCGTCTTGCAGCCGAACCCCGACTTCCCGGCTGCTTTTATTGTGGATGCAAGACGTACCTTTCGGTCTTGCTTGGCCTCCACTTTCGTGACATGATCTCCTCAACTGTCTCTCGAAGTTCGATGCGGATTGTTGCTCTCCCTCTAACGCGAATCAACACGTCGGCGACGATAAAACTGCCCCGTCCAACCTTCTATCGATTCAATATAACGCCCCCACCGCCTAAGCCTTTGCTGCCGCGAACAGGGTGGTTGGCGGACTATCTACCGCAAGAGGGAATTGGTAAATGGGTGTCGAACAAAGCCAACCAGACGTGGATTAGCTGGGGCGCAGCGCCAGAAGGGAGCATTAAGGTGCGCGTCTCAGTTATCTGCTTCCCTCCACACAAACTTGCAACCAGCAACGTGCATTCCAAATTGGCGAACGACTTATGAGCCAGCTTGATTTCGAGGAGACAAATTTGAAGAGCCTCGATCTTTCCATCGCCCCGCCACTCCATGCTCAAGAGAAAGCCCATGATGTGCGCCTCTTTATTCAGAGCCAGCGCTCCCTTCTGACAATCGAGTAGATTCCGCTTTTCTATCCACCAACTATGCTATCCGGTCCACAATCACTAGAAAATCTGAAGACACTGGTGGAGCAACGAATACCGATACATAGTCGCGGCATATACCTGTGGATCTTTGTAGGTTTTCTTCCATGGGGGTCGACTTTTCTCAACTCCTCTCCAGTTTGGTGTCCTCTCCGCCCCGCTGAAGCTTATTCGTATGCATTCACTCAAGACATTCTGCGCACTAAAATCGTCTAGCTATAATACCTAATTTTCCGTTTTACTTCTGCGCCTGGCGAACATGGTCTCATGTCAAAGGTATTTCATCCCCAGTTTCTTATAACTCGTGACTCACTGCTCCTCAGCCCGTCGTGCTGCCCGATATATCAAGTCTCTCATAGACAGCAAACGTGTCGTTCCGGAGGCACTGCATGATCTGACTGCTGTCTATGTCGGAGCAGCTACCGAGGCGATAACTGAACGAGAAACATTACAGCGGGCAGTACGGTCCCTGGGAATGTCGGCGGATGAAGAAAAGGCGCTGTTCCAGGCACAAGAGCAAGTTGTCAAACGACGAGCAAATGCAAAGAAGACTAAGATAATGTAACGTGGCTCGTATTAATGCAGTTTGACCCTCTGTCCCGTCCCAATATGTGGGACAACATTGAGGTTAGCCTAGCAGCATGTGTGGGCACTCGCCCTCTATCACCGGTACACTCGTTGACCTGTCAGCATTTCGATGTGTGATCATCGAGAAAACGCGCTCTTCTGACGGATTTCAGCCCCATGGTAGTAAAGGTAGATCGGGCTATGTTTGTCAGTCTCAACAAGCAACCAGGATAATGACAAACAATGGGATTCCCAAGACAATACCCAGACCACCGAGTAACGAGTTGCCGCCGCCCGTCCCGAGGGCGTTGAACATTTGCTGGCCGAATAGTGGAAAGGCGAAGCCTAAAAGGGGGCGGAAAACAGATGCAGCGGAGAGAGCACTTGCGGCGTAGGTGAACGTGTCGACGAGGTAGAGTTGTATTAGGTGCCGCACAATGTTGTCATCATGCCTTTTTCACATGTCATACCATACCCCCCCTTGCACGCCTCGCTCCAACGCTAAGTCGCTCGCTCGCCAAGTCGCGAGCGAGAGCACCCTCTAATATACATTTTTTTTCAGCGCACGGACCCATAAACAATGTCATGTGAGTACATTTGTGCGTCGAGTACCGGGAGATTTTTGGGGTTTTAGAGGTGTGTTTGCGTGGATTTCACAGAGTTACGGGGTTCTTAGGCAGAACGAGCAGGAGTAGCAAGTAAATCACGTGTATTAGCTATTTCTACGCGTCCAGACACGCTAATTACACCAAGACACGCGTCGCGACGTCAAATCCAGCCCAAAGCACAAGTCCATTAACTCCTTGGCCCCTGCATCCCAGCGACAGAGCGCTATCACCGGTCCGTTGCACTACACCCGTTCATTGGCCTCCGGCGGTTGGAACCCTCGAAATTTTGGCCTTGCTCCGCGCGTAAAGGGCGTCATTTTGTCGTCCGGGGTACGCGTTGGTGAAGGCGTAATTGAGCCCGTTGTATGCACCATGGCCGTTGGGGGGACAACGACTAGAGGGAAAGCACGTCAGTTAAGGTTTGAAGATAGTTTCATGCATACCAAATGAAAATGGCGGCCCGAAGCATCTTCGCACGGGCGGCAGGGCGCCTGATCCGAGTCCTGCGTGTTGGTAATCGATACGGCAGAGACGGGCCGCCAGTTGAAATGTCTTGTGGGATTCAGTCTGGCAAGTAGAATGCGGAGAGGCAGAAGTTGATGGGGTATGGCGACGTCCAAGCGAGCGCAGTAGTCGATGGCGGGGATGACAGACGACGGAGACATGGCTAGGTGGAGCGTCTTGCCCGATTTGGCCGCGAAAAGACAAAGCGGAGCGGTGGAGGTTGGCGGGTGAGAGTCGGTGATGGCGAGGAGGACAACGCCTCATTGTCGGAGCTGCAACGACCAGCTTGGGGGAAGGCAGCACCCTGCTGCCAAAGTCGGCAAAGTCGCACGGGTTGATGGTCATGGCGGTAACTGGAAGGGGATCACGATGGGGGTGAAGGACGTGGGGCAAGGACGTGGGGCAAGGCAGGATTGAGCACGTGGTACGCGCTTGGGGAAGAGACGTTGATCCCAGTCCTGTTTGGTGGCCAACTCGGGTCCAAACACGCGCCAAAAGACATACCCAACGCTAAAGGCTAGGAAGGCGAGCGCGCCCGGCCAGGCCGGCCCAAGTAACCTTTACTCGGGCGCGACGCATCGAGACGGAGTTGCGCGCGAGTTGCAGTGCAAGCACCGGGTCGGGACGGCCAGCTCCGATTCGGTAGGCAATGAGTCGGAGGTCGGGTATGGCGATGCCTCCAAGCCGACACCCATGGCGAGGACGGCTAGGTCATGATGGGATGCCCTGCCCGATTTGGCCGCGAAGGTAGAAGGCGGAGCGGCGAAGGCTAACCAATGGGAGTCGGTGATCGCCACGAGCGCAAGGTCGGAGCTGCAACAACCAGCTTGGGGGAAAGGCAGCACCCTGCTGCCAACGTCCACTTTGAAGGCCTTCCCGTTTGTTGGCCTCCCTGGCAAAAACCTGTGAAAATTTGGGTCAATAGAGCACAAAAAGAAGGGCAAAATGACACACCAAAAAATCACGGAATTGATCGGATCAAAGCCGATTTGATGCGCAATCAGAGCGGGAAACGCGTCTTGCCTTGGCAGGCGGACGGGCGGGCGTGTCCGTCAGGCGGGGTGGTAAGGAGCCGCGCAAGGCGTGAGCGACAGCGCACTGCCAAGGGTCGGGAGCAGTCCTCGTAACTAGCGGCACAGCGGCAAGGGCAGGCAAGGAGGCGCAGTGACAAAGCACATGCTGATTCCCGCCGATTCCAGTTGGACAGAAGGCCAGCAAGGCAGCGCACTGCTGCCGACGTCCACTTTGAAGCCCTCCGTGTACGTGGGCCTCCGGCGGTAAAAACCTGCAAAAATTGGCATTAATAGACCGCAAAACCAAGGGCAAAATGACGCACCAAAAATATTGGAATTGATCGGATCAATGCCGATGTTGACGCGGGAACGAGCGCGGCGCGGGCAGGCGGCTAGTTAACATTTGGTCATAAATACGGCACCAACGCGATCGTCGAAGTTGATATTCAGCAGGGTGTGATACGGCGCGGCGGGCGGCTGGGCATTGCACTCGGTGAGGGAGCAGGGCAGGGTATTGCTGCAGACGGCCAGGCGGAAGTCGAGCATCCCCGCAGGAATCTGGAGAAAACAGTTAATGAAGTGAGAAAAGCGGGGCAAAAGGGCCCACCCAAAATATTGGAACGGATGTTGCGGGAGTCGAGTAAAGGAGTCGACGCACGCGAATCAGGGCGGGAATGCGATGTTGAGGCGAGAACAGCCGTCGCCGCTGCCGCATGGGTAACAACAGCTCGAAGGCCATAAGCCCAGTCCTTCGTCTAACTTCAATGAAGCGGAGGCGGCTCAGGACTGAGAGCCATGTTCGACAGAAACTACTAGTACAGAAGAGTTAGCAGAGTCAAAAAAGAAAAGACAGAATCACGCACCAAAAGCATCAGGTTTGACTCCGAGTTGGAGGAGCGACAGCTTGAAGGCCGGCCGGGAGCGCGAATCAGTCATTCGAGTTGGTCCCTAAAGCGCAACGGCACAGGCAACACAGTGCCTTGGCCAGCGTGACGGTTGTTGGTCGCCACGAGCATGCTCGTATTTAGGTAAGCATTGCGCTGAAAACGGAGTTAGCTGTCATTACTTGAGAGAACTCAACGACTCACTTGAGCCATGAGCGTTAATTGCCGCAGAGACGGTATGTGCCGCCAGTGGCGCTCAAGGCCGCGTTGAAGGCGGCCATCGGGGTTGACGACGCCGTGCCGCCAAAGAGGACTTGGAATCAAAGACGTTGGCCTTGTTTGCGCAGGTTGGTCGACGAGGGTTGTATTTGCGCAAGCATTGCGCTGGGAACGACATTAGTTAAGAGCACGACTCGGAAAGTCGATAGAGCGCACGTACTATGAGGCAAACAACGTTGAAGGCTTTGGGGAGTCGAGGAAAGAGGGATTGGCCACTGTGCTACGCTGGTCAGCGACGACGCGAATGGCATAGACGGTGGACGTTACGAGGGGCAGAGACAGAGCGCAATTCTGGGCATGGTGGTGGTCTTAAGTCGACCATAAACAAGTGTGCGTGACTTCGTTTACGCGAAAAATTCTGGCATGTCATAACACAATCCATCAAGTCAGGGTTGCCCCTCACGACGCGACTTACCTCCGGTATTCGGTTAAGCATGATCTAGCCCGTCGTCGTCGGGCGGCAGCTGCAGGCGGCGCTTCGAAACGCGTCAAAGCAGGGGAAACAGAGCAAAACGGTAGCAAGCACGGTATTTGAAGGTGCATATTGGTAGGTGGTTCTGCCCAGCACTGAAGCCTATATCCACCGCAGACAGATCGTGGGCGCCGCGAGAGAGATGTCGGGGGTGATCGTTGACGACAGGAATGTCACCGTGACGACACACGTGTGCGTGACAATCATGCCGACCACGGCTCGGGGATGAGTTTCACTGGAGATGAGGGAGGCTGCAGGCGATGGGCTGCAGGCGATGGGCCGGCTTCCGCGGATAACGGGTCGTTCAGGCTTGACTCTCAAGCCCGAGGCGCCAGACCGTGACGTGAATAAAATAAAATGTATCCGAATGCCAGTGGTTTACTTTGCCTAGCGGCGCCGTCGGGGAATCGGCAATGAGCGGCAGTGAGGATAGACGGGTATCCAAGTGGCTAAGGACAAGGCCGTAAGTAATTAATGGTGATGGAATGGAAGCGACGGCTGCCGAGGGTGACGTGATGTAACCCTGCCCGGATAGACCCTTTGCATTATCCTTGCTCAGTTGGCTCAGCTGCTTGCCCTTATTGCTGCAGTCGCCTTCGACTGCTTTTGCTGAAATGCCGTCCCATATATTTTTTTCCCCAAATTTTTTATTGAATTTCACTGATAACTTTCAAGCGTGACCAAAAGTGACGATAGCCATTTTTCTGGCGCTGTTGGCCCTTTTGCGCTCAGATCTGGCTTGAAGTCGTGACTCAGCAACGTCCTCCCGATAAGGCAAGCCCCCAGGAGATGCCCAGTTTGCCCGTGCGCCGGTAATAATCGGCTGCGATCAAGCGTGGGAACAAATGTTGGCATTTGCTTCACCTTATCCGCCTGCTCATCGCGTGATTTGGGTCCCCGGAATGCACTCGATTCAAGACGGGAACGTTTTTCGTGATTCACACACTACTTTGCATCGCATGCTTCGATAGCTACCAAATTTGACAGGCGGTATGCAACTACGGGCCGCCCTTCCCCTGTGCTGGGATCAGGCACACAGAGCAAAAGCCACTGCACAGTTCAGCGGAAACGCGCAATTCACGTTTCTAAGCGGTTTAACCCTGAGATGCGCCACCACCCGCTTAGCAACCGCCTCAACGCTGAGTGACAGATCGAAGCCGGACGTGGGAAGCGTTCCAGACTTTATCGTCATTGCCCAAGGACTCGCTTTCCACCCATCTTACTTTTTGCACTTTGGT